CACCGTAATTCAAAAGCATCAATTCTTCGGCGATCAGCCTTCTTTATGGTCAAATGTCTCTGATTCCGTTGCTCCTGCACCCTTAATGAACGCCACGTTCTGGGAGAAGGGGGGTCAGAAATACTCTCCAGTGACAATGTGTCAGCTGGCTGCCCTGTTGCAATTCCCCCCTCCCTTCTTCTAAAACTTCCCAGCTCTTTTGTTCATCTATCTTTGAGCTGTGACCTTCCTCAAACCCCTGCTGCAAATCAATGCTGCATTCCTTTTCTATTGCAGCATGAAGAGAAGTGGTGGGTGATCTCCATCATTCCTCATCTGTCTCGCCCTCTTGAGTCCAATTCCTAACTTTTATATGCCATAACAATTGAAGCCATTCACAATAACTGAGTCAGATTTATCGTTGGGTGATATTGCCCTCACAGTGACAGATCCTGTGAAGTGTCTTCTGGTATTCAGAAGCTACATTCCTAATAGTGGTATCCTGATGGTCTGAGGACATTCCCCAGAAGAGAGGAACGAGCCACCTCTTTGACCTCCGTGTCTTTGCAAGACTACGTGCTTTTCATGGTATCAAACAAACCTGGGCTCCAGAATCTGCTTCCCTTCAAATACAGTGGTAGTGAAAGAGCTACTGTGTGGTGTAGTGGTTAAGAGTGGTGGACTCGTTATCTGGTGAACCGGGTTCGCTTCCCCGCTCCTCCTCATGGAGCTGCTGGGTAACCTTGGCTGGTCACACTTCTCTGAAGTCTCTCAGCCCCACTCACCTCACAGAGTGTTTGTTGTGGGGGAGGAAGGGAAAGGAGAATGTTAGCCGCTTTGTGACTCCTTCGGATAGTGATAAAGCGGGATATCAAATCTAAACTCTTCTTCTTCTTCTTCTCTTCTACTGCAGGCCAGATGTTCCTCAGCATCCTCATCCAAGTTCATCAAGTCCCTGCTGCCATTATTCCTGCCATTGCTGTTCCAGATTGTACCAATGGCTCCCAGGCCTTAAAACTTCCAGGGGCCATGGTTGTTGGAGGCATGGAGGGGACAGTGATCAAGTTCTCTCCCCTGCCCTTGTTGCTGGTGTACCCACCGAAATGCTTGGCAACAAATGAAACACAACACCCACTTTCCATGCGTATTTTGCCTTTTATCTGTGCATTAAACATTTTTCTCAAGATAGAAATACTTTGAGGCACAAATAATTTTAGATAAGCCAAACATTGTCACAGATCCAGACTGTTCAGGAACTTCTCAGGACAGTTTGTAAAGTGTGAAAGTATGAAAACAAAATGTGTGAATGTTAACCAGATTAAATATATCTCCAGTTTCCGGGAGAGAATTTGCTCTGTCTTGAAGATCAGGAAGGCTAACCACGTGCAAAAGAAAAATGCCCTCTAATAGTAGTTGCTTTGGATGCGATGGATGAGCGAGAGGCGTAAGAAAATACTGCTCTATCACACCAATGGCCTATCCAGTCCAGTATCCTGTTCTGACAGTGGCCAACCAGCAAGCAGGATCCAAGCTCACTCTCTCCTCCTGTTGCTTCCAGCCACTGCCTTTCAGAAGCATTGCTTCCTCTGCCTATAGAGGCAGAACTTGCAGAGACATCACCTTGCCAACAAAGGTCCGTATAGTTAAAGCTATGGTTTTCCCAGTAGTGATGTATGGAAGTGAGAGCTGGACCATAAAGAAGGCTGATCGCCGAAGAATTGATGCTTTTGAATTATGGTGCTGGAGGAGACTCTTAAGAGTCCCATGGACTGCAAGAAGATCCAACCTCTCCATTCTGAAGGAAATCAGCCCTGAGTGCTCACTGGAAGGACAGATCCTGAAGCTGAGGCTCCAAGACTTTGGCCACCTCATGAGAAGAGAAGACTCCCTGGAAAAGACCCTGATGTTGGGAAAGATGGAGGGCACAAGGAGAAGGGGACAACAGAGGATGAGATGGTTGGACAGTGTTCTCGAAGCTATGAGCATGAGTTTGACCAAACTGGGGGGGGGGCAGTGGAAGACAGGAGTGCCTGGCGTGCTCTGGTCCATGGGGTCACAAAGACGACTAAACGACTAAACAACAAGCCATTGACAACCTTATCCTCCAAGACTATAAACCAGGCATAGGCAAACTTGGCCCTCCAGATGTTTGGGAACTACAACTCCCATCATCCCTGACCACTGGTCCTGTTAGCTTGGGATGATGGAAGTTGTAGTCTCAAAACATCTGGAGGGCCGAGTTTGCCTATGCCTGCTATAAGCCATTAAAAAAAAAAATAGATTAAGTGAAATAAATCAAACAATTATTTTCCTGCTAAGAAGTAGCTAGCCCTGTTTATGTGCTCATCTGAAAGTTTGCAGGCTTAAAGTGGTGAGAGGGGCGTGCAAGCAAGCCCTTCCCCTGTGTCCCTGCACATTCCAGCTTCACTCCTGACCTTTGATTGTTGGAAAAGAGGTCTCAGTCGCAGAGTACAAAGACTGGAAGTGGAATTGGCATGTGTGGGGACATTATTATTATTATTTATTTCATAACATGTATATACAACGTTCGATCATAAGAAACCTCAACGCAGCTTACGAAGACAAGACAGTAAAATCAAGGGGGGGAATCGCAACCCTGCTTCAAAGCATATTAAAAGTTAAAATATGAAAATGGATTAAAATGAGCTCAAATTGTAGTTTTATCAATCGTTTAATGTGTCAACATGAATAGAAGTTATTACTATTGCATCTGTTGTATAAGGGATTATTATTATTATGATGACTGGAATGTAATTAAAATCAGTTAAGATTTTGGAACGCAGAAATAAAGAAAACCACCAAACCATATATAAATTATATAATTTGGTATTTGAACAATTGGTATTAGTAATTGTATTGTAAATTGGTATTGTTATGACGAGGCTATTATTGGATCTTAATTGAAAACAAATAAATTTATTATTTTTTTAAAAAATGACCTCAAATTTATAAGCATCTGGGTAGGCTTGTGTAAACAAGACTGCTTTCAGCAGGCGCCGAAAAGATTACACGGAAGTGCCTGTCTGAACTCAGTAGGCCGGAAGTTCCAAAGGCCACACTCAACGATCAAGTCCTTTCAAACATGGAACTGGTGGGATGTGGCACCTGTAGTCGTGCCGATTCCGCCGATCGAAATGGTCAAATGGGCATATGTGGGGTAAGACTATCTCATAGGCATGCTATACCAAATATCCAGGCATCCCTCCAGATGTTTTGGGACTACAATTCCCATCATCCCTGACCACTGCTCCTGTTAGCTAGGAATGATGGGAGTTGTAGTCCCAAAATATGTGGAGGGCTGAGTTTGGGGATGCCCGAAATATACTATACATTTCAACCCTACACATATTCGCTTTAACACACAAATAGTGCTACCAGCAACTGACTTTGGCTAGTAGGCCCTCGGAAAGAGGCTGGAGGAACTTCTGCTTCCTTTTGCTGTGGCCATTTCTCACCTGCCTTCAGATTTGTCTCATACGCAAAACGAAAGAAATATCCTTGTGGCCTGGAAACCTCTCTGCTCTGTGAGGAAGACCACAGAATATTAAAGTTCACACCACAGCTCTATGCACAGGTTACTCATAAGTAGGACATATTAATATACAGACCAGAGCAGGGTCATGCCTTTAGCCACCTGTCCAGTCTTTTTGTTTTTTTAACAGCTGTGTGTTGAGTGCAGTTGTCTGGATAGGCAGGTCATCCCTATTTGTGCAAAGCTGCTACACTCGAGGAGGCATTAGTGTACAGTGGTACCTCAGGTTAAGAACTTAATTCGTTCTGGAGGTCTGTTCTTAACTTGAAACTATTCTTAACCTGAAGCACCACTTTAGCTAATGGGGCCTCCTGCTGCCGCTGTGCCGCCACCGTGCAATTTCTGTTCTCATCCTGAAGCAAAGTTCTTAACCTGAGGTACTATTTCTGGGTTAGCGGAGTCTGTAACTTGAAGCGTCTATAACCTGAGGTACCACTGTATTGGCTTTCCTACGCAGAAGACACTCTATTGACACCCAGTTGTAAACACGTCAGGGAGAAGGCTAGTTTGAATCATCTCTGTGCTGATTTCCCGTGAGCCGAAATATATGATTCCCTTCCTGCAGTCTGAAGTGTTACACACCCGGATAAACTGTATTGCATCTGTCGAGTGTTTAATGGCAATTTCCCTGAGGATGCAGACAGCACATTAGTTGGGAATAACAAAAACCGAGTCCTTACGAACCAGGGTAGTATGTCTGCCTTGCTGGGGGCAGAGACGGGGGCACAGTTCTTCTCATAAACAGCTGGTAAGGGGGCGGACATTTCTCCGAAGGTACTGTTCTAGTTGAGATTCCTGCATTGCAAGGGGTTGGACTAGATGACCATCGGTGTCCCTTCCAACTCTATGGTCCTATGACGCTATGATTCTATTTCTTCAGACTGCGGTGGAGGTCTGCAAAAACAATTGTACTCATTCAAAACAAGTCCAGAAGAAGAAGCTTAGCAAGGGGTGGAAAAAAACTTTCCCTGATATCAAGTTTTCAGAGTACAGACAATTTTTTTTGTGTGTACGTTCCCTCATGTGAAATCCCTAAGCAGGGTGAGTTTTACCTTTTATCTGCTGTTGAGGAGAACTTGGCCCAGGGCCTTTTTGAGCGAAGAACTGGACTAACTCGACAAATTCCAATTAAATCCTAAGGGTGTTGTCATAAATAATAATCTTACATCTACAACACATGGATACTTTCATACAATTTATCTGACTGCTTTAAATATTCACCGAAGGGGGCTGGGGAACAAGTCTGTGATAAACTATGCATTATATACCTATATTCTTACAGTACAGGCTGCCAAGGGAAGGGGGTGAAGGACAAGGACTGATATTGAGTGTCTTTTAGGTTCCACTTTCATGCTGGGCTCGTCAGATGTCCCTGTTTCTTGGAGGGTGGTTCCAAGTCTCAGGTTGATCTATTTCCCCTCCCACTGTGCTTGTAGCATGTATATAAACGTTGAGCTCTGTGGAGCCTCTTGCCAGTTCTCTTCTCAGACTAGTCAGGAGCAACAGAGAGACAAAAGGATGGAGCTCCTCTGGGTTGCCACAGCCACTGTTTGCTTTCTGTCCATTTTCCATACGGCAGAATCTTCCACTGCTTATTATGACAAGATTTTAACCCACAGTCGGATCAGGGCACGTGATCAAGGGTAAGTCTGCATTTCGTCCTCCTAAAATTCATCACTGGGGTCGCAAAGTTATTGTGCAGCCAAAAGTGGAGGGGTCCAAAAAGGGGATAACATTTGGCAAAGTAATATTTGTAAGAAATATATATACATACACACCGGAAGGTTGAAGGTTGCTAACCGAATAAATTAGCTAGCTGTTGGACAGAAAAAGAAATCATCAAGTTTATGTACAGTATAAAACATGTACATAAAACAGGACATTTCAGGAGGGTTAAACTGTGCCCAGAGCTCATCAGAGCTCAGTTTAGACATCTGTTTTCCAACTCTGGAATAGATTATGCCTCTGCCTCACAAGCAGATTCAGAGCACATTTCCCTTAATAATCAAGAACCCACATTCATCAAGGATTGCAGAAAAAGACTGTCAGGTCAGAGGGCACAAAAAATGTGAGCCCTGGCACCTCTTTTTGAGACTTGAAGAACTCCATTTCAGATTTACTCAACCTGTCACCCTTTTAGGTGTAGCCCAGACTAGATAACTGTTACCAATTAATTGCAATAGTATGATATGGGAGGGTTTTAATTTTTTTTTCAAACAAGCAGTTTCTTGATTCACCTTTAACCTCTGAATGTGATAAACATTATTGAATGTTTATGAGATATTCTGCCTAATTAAAATGGTATGTTAAAAGTTCATTATGGACAAACAGCAGTTGCTTATATAGATGGAAATGTTAAGGATGGAAATGCTCGTAATACTTTAAAAAAATTAAATGAAACCTAATCTAAAACAAAGCACTGCCGTTCTATAGTTAGCTTTCACATGAACTTTGAAGGTGGAAGTTTCGCACAGCAGAATGCACAAGCAAACCCCATTGGAATGAATGGTGCCTGATCTTGCACAGCTATTCTTCATTTCACTGGAGCTTCTGAAGACATTTCCTTTTTCATATCAAAAGGATTCATGATTAATATTCAAAAGGGTGGGTTGTTTCACCCCCTTTTTCTCGTTTGGTGAAGGGATTATTTATTTAGCTGCTCTTGTGCTATTCCAAACAGTGGCAACCAAAATAAACGATTGTACGATGGAAGATGAGAGCTTCCCTTGAGTCGGCAGAGGGAAAAAAATGTTTGCCTTACTCCATTATCGCCCCCTGCCCCACAACTGCAAATTAAGCTTTGCAGCTGTGCAGAAGATGACACCAAACAGGAGGGAAGTGTGATGAACTTGCCAGTGAAAGAGAACAACAGTTCTATCATATTACCTTCCTCTCTCTTGGGAACTGATAAGATTTGGCTGTAAAAAACCCCAACAACATTAAATTTCCTGAATTGAAATCCAGAGGTGGCTGTTTGAAATATCATTTGGTGTAAGGCACAGCATGTTCTAGATCGCTGGTCTTCGAACTGGTGGGTTGGGATCTCCTAGTGGCCTGATCCAAGTTGAAGAACACTACTGCCATGTTGAAAGATTCAGAAACGAGTCCCCAATTGCGTGTTTTGGTTAAAATTGGGTCCTCGGTCTGAGAAGGTGGGAGATACCTGGTCTAGATGCACCCTCACCATAAAATTCCTACTGTGCCTACTTGTGGATGGGAAATCCTATTGTCCATCTCTAGCCTTGGCCATTCAAGTGCGGGGGGGGGGGGGGAGAGAATAGAAATAAAGTAGGGAAACCATTGGAAAGCAGAATGAATTCCAAACAAGGTAGAGACTAAAATTTCTGCTCAGAGACAAGTGTAATGTGAACAGACTACCAAGCCAGTGGACATTTGCAAGTGAAGCTGTCAGACGTGGTTTGATTCGAACTCTGAGTCTCCTGATCATTTTTCATGTTGCAAGCCTTGTCTGTGCAAGTAAACTTTTACACACTTTGGGAAGGATTTATCAAAAGAGTCCCCTGAAATTGACTTGGGGGGGGCAGGTGGTAGAAACTCCAGAGAACAGCGTGCCGTGGAAATAGAGGAGAGATCGTTCCATCTGGCAAACTGCACTGTTTGTGCTGGCCGGACGTTCACCACAGCCCAGCGTTGAATTCCACCCAATATTTCACTTGCATGAACTCTCATGAACTTTAATAAGCTACCATATCAGAAAGAGACTCCAGCCAATTTTTGCTTTTCAAGATGAACGCATTAGGCACCATTAGGACATATTTCCTGAGATAATTTCATTAAAGTTTGTGTGTGTGTGACAAAACAAACAGGTAAACAGGGAAAGGTACATCTATTGTCTCCACTTTCAATTCACCGTCTTTTTCACTGTTCGTTTACATATAGTGAAAGACAATTTTTGTCATGGACATCTTGCAGTTGGGGGGAAAGAGACAGGGGAGAGAGGCAGGAGAGAGATGGGGGTATTGTCCTATCGTTCTATTGCCTATTATTAGTGTACGGATTTCTGGCAGCGTCATGTGGTTAGGTCCATTGTTTATGTATTTATTTATTTTTATTGATAATGTGAGAGATTAGTGTGTCCTAAGCTTGGTTGGTTGTGTTCAGTGTGGTTTGTTTGTTTGTTTGTTTGTTTGTATGTGAGGGGGTTGTTACGTTGCTGGGTCAGTTAGCCATATTGATTTGTATGCTGTTGTGGGGAAATAGGTCATTGTCATGTTGTCCATGTGATAAAGGAAAACCATATTGTGGCAAAGGTAGGGTTGCCATATTTCAAACAGAAAAAATGAAGTTTTTGAGCTATTTTTAAGGGGAAATCTCCAAAAACAACACTGCTGACATGGGTTGCCATGCGTCTGGATTTCCCGAGACATTTCTAGCAACTTCTGTCCAGACATTGCTTTTGACTGCTGTATTCCAGATATGTCTGGGAAATGTATGGCAACCCTAGGTGAAGGTGTCCTCCTTTGCTTGCCCCCGTTTGAATTGGTTGGTCAACTTCTCTAGCAGTCACTTACTCGCAGCAACTAGAAATATTGTAAATAGACACTGGAAGGATCTGTCTGAGGTGAACATAGACCACCAGTACCAAAACGTGTGGGGAACCATTAGGACTTCTTAACGTTTTCTTCTTTCTCTCTCTCAGCCCAAATGTCTGTGCTCTTCAACAAGTTGTGGGCACCAACAAGAAATACTTCAGCACATGCAGGAATTGGTACCAGGGAGCCATCTGTGGCAAGAAAGCGTAAGTCCCGTGCCTTTCATGACTATTAAACCTGGGTGACCAAACCTGTGACATAAGCTTCTCAGGCAACGAGGACATGTGGCAACACCGGGAGCAGGAGCAAGAAACTATGTGCGCCTTGCTCTGGCCTAGAATTCAGACTCTGGTACAGTTCCCTGGCTCGGTAGGCTGGAGGAAAAATTATATGAAGGCAGGGAGGGTTCACATATGCAATGCAGCGTGTGCTAGACTTAATAAAGCACAGAATTACTGGAGATAAGTACACAAATATATTTCATTTGCCGTTTTTATAGAGGTCACAGAAGCAATCGCTGAATGGGCCTCTTAATGATTATTCTAGCATATTTCTTGCTGCTATTTCACCAGCAATAGCATTCGCTCTTCAATCCCAGGGGGAAAGACAGTGGAAGTGTGGCTATGATGCAATGGAGCACTGTCTGTACTTGAGGAAAGGCAACTAGTGATAGGTTTTTTATTTGGCTGCCAAATTTGCCGTGTGTGTGAGGGAGGGAAATATTGAACCAGAAAACCATAGGCGTCTCTGTGATGTGAACGTTGAAGAGGTGACGCAAGGGGAAAGTGTGCAAGAGAGTCCTAAAGTATGCGATCCAAACCCCTCTCCCGTACACAGGGTGGGGTTTGCAGTGAACACAATATCCCACTTTTCCTTCTCCAGGGCCTGCCTACTTGTATGGGAGAACAGGATGAGACTAGAAGGAATTCCTAGCTTGCTTAGTCAGGACCAAACAGGGTCAAGCTTTAAGCCCTCTCAAACGCCCTTCTTCTTTCGAAAGGAGGAGATTGATGAATGCTGCTTGGCTTCAGAGCCTTTCCCATGTTCAAACAGGCTGAGATGTGTTTGGTTTAGGGCTCATGTTTGTGTGCTTACTAGGTGCCGCAAACTGAATCAAACAGAAAAACATATTTTTCCTCCCCGCAAGGACGTTGGCAAAGACTGAGGTTCCATCTATCTCCTGGAACTCTTTCTTTCCCGCGCTTCTCAGATATGTGAGGCCTCAGTTTTCTAGATGCAGTGAACCATGAGGGAACATATGGCTTTGCATATTCAAAGGCAATTGCTGGCTAGACATGAATCCCTTGAGCTTCCCAGAGGAAGTGTGCTATGTGTTTAAAGGAACATGATAATCGAAAATACACTCATATAACGTTTTAGTGGCAGCCATTACAGTTTGGCAAAATTTATGGCGCATCTGTATCAAATTTGTGTTAACCTAATTCTCTCCCCCCCCCCCTTATTTTACTGGATCTGTTGTAGAACACTGCAGGAGGTGAGGGGGTGGCTTACATTTCTGCCTCTCTCTTTAATTTTTTTATGAAAGGAAAATCAAAGCTGTAGGAGTTTGGCCACTCTCCTGTAGCTCCCAAGGCAAATTTTGTTAAGACATTGAATTGGAAAATGCATACCAATTGTCTCATCAATCATGAAAACTGCCATTTTCTTCTATAAGTATTTGGTACATAAGGGACGCGGGTGGCGCTGTGGGTTAAACCACAGAGCCAAGGACTTGCCGATCAGAAGGTTGGCAGTTCGAATCCCCGTGATGGGGTGAGCTCCCGTTGCTCGGTCCCTGCTCCTGCCAACCTAGCAGTTCAAAAGCACATCAAAGTGCAAGTAGATAAATAGGTACTGCTCTGGCGGGAAGGTAAACGGCGTTTCTGTGCACTGCTCTGGTTCACCAGAAGCGGCTTAGTCATGCTGGCCACATGACCCGGAAGCTGTACGCTGGCTCCCTCAGCCAATAAAGCGAGATGAGCGCCGCAACCCCAGAGTCAGCCACGACTGGACCTAATGGTCAGGGGTCCCTTTACCTTCACCTATTTGGTACGTAAGTTTAGTAAGGAAGTTTAAAATGCCTTTCTGTTGCATCCATGAGCCCTTTGAAAAGACCTAGAGCCCAAAGTGGCCTGTCTTATTAGGTGAATTAGATACCTGCATTTTGCTTCTGCTGTGGCTAAGGTGCTGCCAAGTTGACCAGGTTCAACATACCTGGTCCAAAAGGGCCTTTGAAATGTGTGCTGAAGTGTCCTGTCAGCCTAGGAATTGGTATTCTTGGCTGACTTGTTCTTTTCCTGTATTGTGCAACTGACAGTTGTTTCCAGAGATTGTTTCAGTTGTGTATCTCCTGCTTTGAGTGCAAAGTCACCCAAGAGATGTTAAGCTATGGCTGGGCCACCAATAGTAAACTAGTTTTACTGTGTCTCCTAATAAGTGATAAACCAGTATTTCATGCTCAATCAAATATATGTAGCCTATTGCACAGACTTATCTTCATACAGAAAGGGTACAACTGTAGCTTGAACATTTTCCTCTTGAAGTTGTTGAATACGGCCATTGCAACCAGAACTGCTTTAACCCTATATCCCACCTTTTCCTCTTGACAAGGACTCAAGGCGGTTAACAAATAAAAAAAGAACACTTTAAAACATAGGGAGGGGATCATAAAAAAGTAAATTTAATATAATTAAAACTACTATGCAGATAATTACGGTAAAAATTACAATAAAAACAGCATGGCACTAGCCCTTTCGTTAAGGGAAGTTTAGGGATTCAGCAGCAAAAACGCCAGGTCAAATCTCCAGCAATTCTTTTGTATAGTGTATTTTATTTCATTGCATATTTTATAAAAAATATTTTTTATAAGGAACTTTGTGTCTTTTCTGGTAAAAAGCAGAAATCATAATGATGAAGCCAGTATAACAAGTCAACAGCAGGGTAAATAAAATGTTGATATATTGATATATTGTGTTGATATATTGTAGAACTGTCTTGTATGAATGCTGCCCTGGTTATATGAAGATGGAAGGCGAACGAGGATGCCCTGCAGGTAATGTTGGATGAACATAAGAAGCTTATATTTTGCTTACTTTTTCTCCCAAAAGAAGGGGGCAGGTGGGGATACGAGGTAGCTTGTGAGAGATCATTGTTATGTTATGAAGCATTGCTTTAAGGAAGAGCCACACATGAAAACTAGGCCTTGTTTTTTAAGGACACGAGATGGATCTGTTTGTGCATAATACGTAAATGAGGAACTGAAGGAATATTGTGCAAAATGATCACTCACCTGCTCTCAGGGTGGGTGGCAGTTGCGACCTGTTGCCATCGCCCCCCAGCTCCTTGGGACAAAACACTCTCTCATGGTGTGATTTATGACTTAACCAGCAATTAAAGTTCACTTGGGACAATCTGTCAGGATGCTGTCAGCAGCTCCCGGCTGGTTGCCCAGAAAAGTACAAAGACAAGGAAAAGTTTCTTACCGTTCTTTTTTATTTCAATCTTTACAGAGAGAGGCTATAGAACCCAGCCTCTCGCATATTGGCGTTGTCCCAAGTGAATCTCCACCCCTCATATCTCCCACTTCCTCATTCGTCATTCTACGGGTGCTGCTACATGGCCTCTGTCTTTGAGCTCTTTGCTCTCCTACTTTTAAGGCTTGCCGGGTTCTGGGAGATGGAGGGTCTGGAATTTCTAATGACAATGTTTCAGCCAGGTGTTCCTCTGGACAGGGGCGGAGGAAGGAGGATGGTGGGAACGGGCCGCCCTGGGTGTCACCACTGAGGGGGGTGACAAAATGCCGGGCAGGACTCTCCTGGGAGAGACACGGTGGTTTGGGCGCGTGCAGGCTCCGTGCTGCCCAAATGGTCTGCCTGCTGCCTCCCCCCCCCCACTGTAGGGTGGCTCAGTGGAAGGAGGCAGGCAAACTCCGAAGGCCCCTATGGGTGGCTTGGACCGCTGGCGCGCCACCCCAAGCGCCAGAGCGGCTTCCTCTGCAGCTGCCTCTGGTTTTCCCATGATTTCCTAGCTTTCCCCCTCATCTGCTTCTGATCTGCGACTTCCCTCAACCCCCTGTTGTAAATCTATACTGCCTTCCTCTTCCTCCTCCCTGGAAGGGTCAGGATGGGGAGGCAGTCTCCACCATTCCTCCTCTGCCCAGTCCTTGACATAAGCAAAACAACAACAACAAACCTATGGTTACGTGAAACATACTCAATAAACACACAAGACGTAACCAGCTGTACTTTTGAATAAATAAGGTATAATATTCATATAGTATCTATTCCACCTGTCTGTTCATAGAGTCCAATAATCCACTTATAAATGTATGGACCTTATGCAAGAACTGACTAGAGAATGAACTGATCCACTGGGTCTTCTGCTTTTTCCGTTGAACTTTATGAGACTTCAGTTGAAATCTACAATTTGACACAATGAATATTATACCTTATTTATTCAAAAGTACAGCCGGTTATGTCTTGTGTGTTTATACAGTCCCTGACATAAGCTGGCTCCTCCCCAAGTATGGTAACTACATTTTTCATACCCTTGAGTGGACCGTTTGTGTGTGGACCACCTAACTACGCTATTTTCAGTAGTGTCCTTGTGGAAAGTGTGCAGGTTCCTAAGCAACCTGAAATGGTGGGTTGCCTTCCTATGAACATCTGCTTTGTTACGTGGTTTGTGTACTGCTGCATCCTAAGTCAAATCATGAGCTAAATTGCGGGTCCTGAAGCAAGCAGTATTTAATTCAGCAAATCCCATGAATGATTTCCGCCAGATGAAGTGGCACTATCTGAGGTGAGGGGAGGAGGGCAAACCCGTTGTAAACAGAATGTACAGTGTGCTTGTTTCTTGTCTTTTTCAGTTGCCCCCATCGATCATGTCTATGGTACTTTGGGCATTGTGGGAGCGACCTCCACTCAACGCTACTCTGACATGTCAAAACTGAGAGAAGAGATTGAAGGACCTGGCTCATATACAATGTTTGCACCAAGCAATGAAGCCTGGGATGCTTTGGATCGTGTACGTATTTCAGAATGGATTTTTAAAAAATGTTTCAAGTGCTTTTGGATTTTTGGATATATAAATCCAAGTTATGCAAATTAATTATTGGTGGGGGAAATAGTAACACTCAGCTGCTGAACATAAATTTGAGATAAACTACCCAATTTAAGTGTACCAGAGTTTAGTGTTGCAGGTGTGTGGGGCAGAACATTGGGTTCTTATAGTATCCTCCATCCAGGAGATGTTATCTGCGCTGAAAACTTGGATCATGGATGCTCATATGAACCCTTCACATCTCCAACTCAATATGTACAGAGAAATCAATATGTATGATTTCTATAATCCTTGCTACAAGGACAAACCAGGGAAGATTACTATAATATTTCAGGCATATGACTGTGGTGGGGCCCTGTATGCATTTATTTTCCCCTGCCAATGTATGCAGAAGGCCTATTTCGATTTCAGAATGAAGGGCATATCAGACTAGCCTGAAAGAACTGAATGCCTTTAGTCTAAAGGAGGGGCCACATCAACCTACAGTATAATCAACCCTCAGGGGACTATGTGTGAATGTGGGCATGGCCAATTTTTTAAAAAAATCAAAGGACATCTTTGTCTGGGTCTTGCAAGGCTGTGGGTCAAAACACCTTTTGGTATCACCAGATCACAGGAGGGGACATATAGGTGGGAGTGGTCAGTAAAAAAACATTTCTTACTATGTGTGTGTGTGTGTGTGACAAATCTTGGGGTCACAAAAAAACATTTTGGCATTGCTCAGGAGTCCCATAGAAGCAATCAAAACATTTATTTTAAAAAATCTATTTTTGTAAAATGACAAATTTGGTTGGAGGACCTCTTAAAACGTATTGGGGAATTTCGCAGCCTGCAGGTTTTCTAGCCCTGATTTAAAGGGTAGAAGATATTGCCAGGTTTACAAATGTATAGGGAGAACCTGGGGGGGGGGGGGAATCCAGCAAATCCTCAGAGGCAGTTTATTTTAATATAGTAATTTAAAATGTACAGACGTTTTTGCAACAAACAGCCCTTTTATATGGACCACACAACAATTGGTGTTAGAAAGCTCTAGGTCACCTCCCACTACTGCTCTGGGTGCTGCTGGGCAATGAGAAAAGGAAACACTGAAAGGTGCTGCCCCTTGGCATTATTAAACCTAAGTCCTGTGCAAGGACTTCTTCTTATGCAACAGCGACTTCCACTCCCCCCATCTCCTCAGATTGGCTCACGGGGGGCAGGTGTCAGGAACAGAGTGTGTAGGGAAGAAATGGGAAATTGTTCTGTCTGGAAGTCAAACTGCTTGCTCTGGTAGACCAGTTGCCTTAGCACAATGTTGAATACCACCTGTGTGGTCTTGGGCATCTCAAATTGCCCAGTGGCAGAGGAAGCAGCAGCAACACCACTTTGGCTCCCAGGCCATCAAAGTAATACAGTCGTACCTCGGAAGTCAAATGGAATCTGTTCCGGAAGTCCGTTCGACTTCCTAAACATTCGAGAACCAAGGCATGGCTTCCGATTGGATGCAGGAAGCTCCTGCAGCCAATCAGAAGCCGTGGAAGCTGTGAATGACGTTCGGGTTCCAAAGAACGTTCACAAACCAGAACACTCACTTCCAGGTTTGCGGCATTCGGGAGCCAAAACATTCAACTCACAAGGCATTTGATTTCTGAGGTACAACTGTAAACGTAAGAACCTGACCATAGGTTAAGATCAGGAGATCAAAGATGAAGGCCCAGGATAGGGCTTGATAAGAACTTTGGCTGGGTTGACAAATGGCAAGGAGTGCTGAAAATGGCCTTTTGATCCCAGAAAGGCTCTGCAAATTTAGTCGGGTTTGAGGCACAGAATATGCTGGCTGCACAAATAATGTGGAAAAATGTTTGTGGAATAGTGGGTAACATGTAAGGAAAAGCAAAGGGGGATGTGAAAGAAGACAAGATGTCCAAGACTGCACGAATAAATGAATGTTGTAATTCATGGAGCTACGGTACTTTCAAATGAAAGAAACTTAGAAGCTTAGCAGCTGGATGCTAAATGAAGTACTGTAGCTTGCCAAAGGGAATATTAGCATGAAAAAAACATTAGCATGGATTATTTCACTTGTAGCAGAGTAATCTGGTGTATATCAGGCTGACTGGGATGATGGCCATGGAAAGTCTAACTGAATCTCTTCCCCTAGGAAATCCACGAAGGCCTGATTGAAAATGTAAACATCGAACTGTACAATGCCCTCCATAACCACATGGTGAACAAGCGCATGTTGACAAAGGACCTCAGGAATGGCATGGATCTGGTGTCTATGTACGACAACCAAAAACTGCATATAAATCACTACCCCAATGGTGTAAGTCTGTTTAAATATTATTTTTCTTATATAGTACCATGAACTTTAGCCCCTGGAATAGAGGACATTGTAATGTTGCATGTGATATTTATGTTATAAATGTGGCTCTAAACTTGGAAAGAGCTGTAAACTTCAACTTTCTAGATAGAATTTCATTTTTATAGGTATTTGGTGGGATCCAGAGATGCAGCACGATTCTATGCATGTTAGTTGTTGTTTAGTCGTTTAGTCGTGTCTGACTCTTTGTGACTCCATGGACCAGAGCACGCCAGGCACTCCTGTCTTCCACTGCCTCCCGCAGTTTGGTCAAAGTTGTCTTTGTCCATGGAATTTTCTTGGCAGGGATACTGGAGTGGCTTGCCGGTTCCTGCTCCAGGCGGATCACGTTTGGTCAAAACTCTCCACTATGACCTGCCCATCTTGGGTGGCCCTGCACGGCATAGCTCATAGCTTCTCTGAGTTATTCAAGCCCCTTCGCCACAGCAAGGCAGTGATCTATGAAGGCAGTGATCCATGCATGTTTACTCAGAAGTAAGTCCCAGTGAGGCATACTCCCAGGGAAGTGGTAAAGGATTGCAGCTTCAGTTAGTTGACCTAAGGTCCTGCTGCAATCAAGTCAGACATGGCTATTTATTTATTCTTATTAGTTATATGTCATTTTTTAATCAATGATTTCAAGGCACTTTACAAAATCCAAAGATGTACCAAACTATCAGCAGGTTAAAAACAATGGCTACTAACACAGTGTTAAATTTCGCTCTGAATGTTCACCTTAAAGAATTTAAAAACATTATTGCTACCAGACATAGGAAATGAAATGCATCCAGTACAAGTTTCATTGCAATGTGTGTTCTAGCTAGATTCTTTCCAGAATGTTTTATAGGAGACATCTCATCACACATCCCATAAAGGCGCTAGAAGCATAAAGAAATGTGTAACACTTTCTCGATAATCTTCTGGTTGCCAGCAAGTTCTGTGCTTAATATTCTCTGGCATCATTCTTCAAATGCAGGTTGTTACGGTTAACTGCGCTAGAATCATCCATGGTAACCAAATTGCTACAAATGGTGTTGTGCATGTCATCGACCGTGTGCTGACCCCTGTTGGAAATACCATTCAAGACGTCCTTGATGTGGAAGATGATCTTTCATCTCTCAGAGTAAGCTTTCCTTCGTAATTATGAACGTCCTTTAGCCTTTAGCCTTGATAGTTGCTGCATCCTTCCTTGGCTTTTTTCTGGTCCACGTAGGACCAGTCTGGATAGTTGGACTTGGTGAAGATTTGATGTTTTCATCCCCCAAAAGTTTTTGATTTGAGTTTCTACTGAAATGAGGCTGCATTTTAATGTTGTATTTTAATCTTGTTTTTAAGTTGTATTTTAATCAATTGTTTTTATACCTGGTGTTAGCCACCCTGAGCCTGGTAGGGGAGGGCGGATGATGATGATGATGATTATTATATTATTATTATTATATATTATTATTATTATTATTATTATTATTATTATTATATTATTATTATTATTATTATTATTATTATTATTATTATCATAATCATCATCATCATCATCCTGATTTAAGGACACATCTAACACAGTTATCTTTTTGGTTTTAGCTTTTGTGTTGGACACCTGCCTGCTATTTTTCCATGTTAAAAACTTCTTTATAAAGAAACCCTTCTTCCCCAGTCTCTTCCGGCTTCTCCCACTATTTTCTGCTCTCAGTGTTCTGCCCTCCCAGCTCCCATTCCATGGCCACTGCTGTTCTGGACTGGCATGAGCCACTACAAATACTCCAATGGGAGCTGTGCTATGGCAGCCTTAATTTTATATATATACACATAAACACCAAAAATATATATGTAAATATAATACATGTATTCGGCTTTCTAGCTAATTGTTGAGTAGCCAAATGAGCACATGGGGTAGGGGGAGCTTCTTTGCAATGCAGGCATTTAAGTGTTCCTACTTTTGTGAGTATACATCTAGGAAAACAACTCTATAATGCTTACGTATTATATTATGAGTTGCCCAATCCGGTGACTATGAAAAAATGCTGGTCTTAAGTGATCATGGGAAGAGTATTACCATCCTCAGCTCATTTAAAATATTGCTTTTCTGTACCTAAAATATCAAGGTGCTTAATAACGGCATCTCTTTCTTTCCAAGACCGCTGCCATGGCATCAGATGTGATGGAAACTCTTGGGAAGCCTGGGCAATACACGCTCTTTGCTCCTACCAACGAAGCTTTTGAGAAACTTCCACGTGGAGTCTTAAACAGGATTATGAACGACAAGGTGGCAGCTAAAGGTATTTCTGTAAAGTTGATATTGTGGAAAAGGAAAAAGAGACGGTCCATTTCACAGCTTTGGAAAGCAATGGTTAAGAACATGATATGTCTCCCACCATGTTAGACCATCTGCTGTAAATAAGTATGAAAAAATTGTCCACGTGCAATTATTTTGAACCCAGCTCTGTTCCAGGAGGCATGGCAACTGCCTCTAATAAGTGAGATAAGTTAGAGTTGCCATATGTTGTGTTTTTGCCCAAAAAGCTCAGCAACGTTTCGGTCTGGATTTTCACTGTTTGAAATATGGCAACCCTAGATAAGGAATAGATAGCTGTTGAGTCTGCCGTGTTTGTAGGGGAGCCTGCCCTCCCATTCGCAGCAGCACAGACCAACACATTCTTTGGATTGTTCCTCTTCAAAACTCAGGGCTCATTCCCGCTTTTGCTTGACCAGTATTTTGGTCGTATTGTGTACTGATGAATTCCCCAGGGTCTGAGAGCTTTTCTCGCTGTTCCGCAGCTGTGCCTTGCGAAAATCCAATTTTACCTGCTGAAATGAACCTTATCAGATGTGCAAAAAAATCCAAAGGGAGATTTTGCTCAGCCAATCTTCAATTCAGCAGGCGAGATCAGATTTTTGCAAGGCACAGCTGCGGAAGAAATGAGAAAAGCTCTCAGAACTGGGAGGGGGGGGATTTTGCTGGCATACAATACAATCAAAGTAGGGGTCAAGTGAAAGTGTGGATGAACCCATTGAGGACGAGGACCCCTCCATAGGGGGGGATTTCTGCTACTTATCCTCCTTTCATTACCTTTCTGCAAGTTGTTCCCAAACTATCAGTGTCATCAGTGTCGTGCATTTGCAGCTTATCACATAAATGTACAGTGGTACCTCGGGTTACATACGCTTCAGGTTACATATGCTTCAGGTTACAGACTCCGCTAACCCAGAAAGAGTACCTTGGGTTAAGAACTTTGCTTCAGGATGAGAACAGAAATTGTGCTCCGGCGGCAGCAGGAGGCCCCATTAGCTAAAGTGGTGCTTCAGGTTAAGAACAGTTTCAGCTGAAGAACGGACCTCCGGAACGAATTAAGTACTTAACCTGAGGTACCACTGTATTTCCATTAGCCCATTGCTGCGTAAGCCTGTAAGGAGTTTGAAGTAAGTTACTAGGTAAATGATGATAGGAAGGGTGGTTTCTCCATGTTTTCCCACATCTTTTCTACCCAACATTATGGGTATCTGAAAAACTGTACCTAGAGCACATGTGGTCAGCTTCAACTTATTTAGAAAGACAACCTTTCATACCTGCCCTTTTTAGGAAAATAATAGCAGCAATGAGACATTAATGTTCACAACAGATCCAGCTCTTGAGTATGCCTTATGTACTATTATGCTTTGAGCAGATGAAACTGAGAAAGCTGTAACAGCACCTTTCAGTGTAATTGGTGCGACCGCTGAGGATACAAAACCTCACCAACTAAGCTCTAGTAAATGAAACTTCCTGCATTTGAAATGTGCTCAGAACTACTCAAATGGTATACTTTTGTATCCCATAAACATTCTATAAAAGAAAAGGGAAGTCCCATTAGAATCTTTACAGCTAATGGTTACTGCAAGTTACAGCTTGCATCTGTTCTTCTCATTAAGAAAGGGCAGTTGATACATAGACAGTGTAGGAGTAAGAATTTTCCCTGCTTCATATGTCAAAGGAAAAAGAAAGGGAGGATCTCGAGGGAGTCGTGCTCAGCTTTAGCAACAGGATATCTGGAAGTGCTCACTAGAAACCATCTCTCAAATGCTATCTTCCTCCTATAAGCTTACGACAATCTCATTTGATTGAAAATAACATTTCTGCTCCAATTGTTTTAATCATGTCATAACCTTCACCTTCCCCTGGCGTCTAACTATGTATGTGTAATTTCTTTGTTTATTTGGTGCAGTTGCATGTTGCCCCATAAGACAAAGTTCTCTGGGCAGCTTATAATAATACAGTGGTACCTTGGTTCTCAAACTTAATCCGTTCCGGAAGTCTGTTCCAAAACCAAAGTGTTCCAAAACCAAGGTGCGCTTTCCCATAGAAAGTGATGCAAAACGAATTAATCCGTTCCTGACTTTTAAAAACAACCCCTAAAACAGCAATTTAACATGAATTTTACTATCTAACGAGACCACTGATCCATAAAATGAAAGCAATAATCAATGTACTGTACTATAAAATAAATAAGACAATATTGTAGATGATAAAAATTAAAATTATTTTTTGTTTCTTACCTGCACTGATGATAGTCTTTGTTTGGATGTGGGGTTTTTAGCCATTTCCACAGTCACACAGTCAATCAATCTGAACTGGGTTCCACACAGTCACAAAAACAATTTACTCGAAAAAGCCTCAAAAACAAAAATGCAAAATTAATAGCAAAAACAAAAGCGCCATACTTAATCAGTTCCAGAAGTTCGTTTGACTTCCGAAATGTTCAAAAACCAGGGCACAGCTTCTGATTGATGCAGGCGCCCCGGAAACAACAGCCAACAGCTGTATCGAATGTTCAGCTTCCAAAAACAGTTTGAAAACCGGAAAACACACTTCTGGGTTTTTGGAGTTTGAGAACCAAAGCATTTGAGAACCAAGGCATTTGAGAACCAAGGTACCACTGTAATAATAATAAAACCTTGAAACTAAAAAATAAGCGACTCAGGACCGCAATACCTCAAGGACTGCCTCTCTCCATATGAACTAACCTATACCTCCATGAGAGGTCCCAAGGTGGCAACACAAGAGCAGGCCTTTTCTGCAGTGGCTCCCCATTTGTGGAATGCTCTCCCCAGGGAGGCTCTCCAGGCACCTTCATTATATTCATTTAGGTGCCTGGCGAAAACTTTCCTCTTCAACCAGGCCTTTGGTCGATTGACATCCGATGCCCTTTTTAAATGAGTTGTGGGAGGGAGAATTATCGGTTTGCTGCGGCTGTTGTTATTTTTACTACAAATTTTATGTTGTGAAGCACCCTGAGATCTGTGGATGAAGGATGTTAATTCATATTTAATAAATAATAATACACCATAGCAGCATTGGGATGCGGGTGGCGTAGTGGGTTAAACCACAGAGCCTAGGACGTGCCGATCAGAAGGTTGGCGGTTCCAATCCCCGTGACCGGATGAGCTCCCATTGTTCGGTCCCAGCTCCTGCCAACCTAGCAATTCGAAAGCACATCAAACTGCAAGTAGATAAATAGGTACTGCTCCGGCGGGAAGGTAAACAGCGTTTCCGTGCACTGCTCTGGTTCGCCAGAAGCGGCTTAGTCATGCTGTCCACATGACCCAGAAGCTGTACGCCGGCTCCCTCGGCCAATAAAGCGAGATGAGCACCACAACCCCAGAGTCAGCCACGACTGGACCTAATGGTCAGGGGTCCCTTTACCTTTTTATAGCAGCATTAAAATCCAAAACCAAATAAATGCAACAACAAAAATAGCACAATTGTCCCAAAATTATAAATTCAGAAATCCAGGTTACCTAAGTTGCTTTGAAGGCCTGGGTAAACAGAAAGGTTTGCCTGACCAAAAATAGGGTGGCAGGCAAACTTTTCTGAGAAGACAATTCTATACCCAGGTTGCCACTACCAGAAAGGTTGTATCGCTCATTATTACCGCATTTTTCGCTCTATAAGATGCACCAGACCACAAGACGCACCTAGTTTTTGGAGGAGGAAAACAAGAAAAAAATTCTGAATCTCAGAAGCCAGAACAGCAAGAGGGATTGCTGCGCAGTGAAAGCAGCAATCCCTCTTGCTGTTCTGGCTTCTGGGATAGCTGTGCAGCCTGCATTCACTCCATAAGACGCACACACATTTCCCCTTACTTTTTACGAGGGAAAAAGTGAGTCTTATAGAGCAAAAAATACGGTACCTTCCTGACTTCACCTGGAGCAGGATTTCTTAAGCTTCAAGAAGGTACATTTGGAAGGAAGTGGTCTTTCAAGAAACCTGATATTTCAAGTAAGACATCAGTTTAGAACTCTCTGAGGAGAAGGCAACCTCTCCCACGAGAATTCTCTAGCAGAGCCGTTTCCAAATCAAATTGAGGGGTTTTTGACCATGACCAAAGCACTGTCCCTGATAAAAAAGGAAATTTCTGGTAAGGAAGGGAAACTACAAAGTCAGATGTTTAAGTTAGAGAAGTGCCTTGGCAGTTTACCTAGGCGTCAGGTCTAGTTGTTGGTCTGGCTGTCGATTTTATAACTCTCTCCAGTTGGTTTTTTATCTCAGTGGGACCATGCGCCTGTTAAAGATTGGCAGGAAAAAGCTGGAAATGCCTTTAGCCTTACCGCTTCTCTCGTAACACCTTTGCCGCATGCCAGCTGAGAACCGTCTTACCGGGAGGGAATTCCCAACTGGCCTGTTAGATCAATTACCCCACTTGGCACCGCAGAAAATGCTGCATAAACGGCAGGGAAGAGTGAAGCTTTCTTTTCCATGTTATCACAGTGCACCAGAAGCACACTGATATTTTAAAGAAAAATGAGGGAGTAGCTTCACACAAAAATAGGTAGATGCGGTTGGGGGACAAAATTGATTCTATGGTTACCGACTGACTGGCCACTAGCCTATTTTGTCCATCGAAAAGGAATAAGTTGGGGAGCAAAAAGAGAAATGTGACCACTTTTTGGTGTTTGCTTTTTTAGGGCAGCCTCTATTGTGAGGCAGAGCTAGGTGTCAATTTGTGTGCTTATTACATTTTTACAATTGCAGGGGGAATTTGAACTTCCTTCCTCAAGTACCAAAATATCTTAGATCATCGCTGTCTTTTAAGTGCACTGTAAATAAAGGTTCAGGTCAAATATTGGTCTCCAATTCACATTTTAAATATAGGGATCATATTATTTGATTAAGGGCTCGTGAGTTTCACAGTCATGATAGATGTAATAACCTATTATTATAATCCAGAGCTATTATTATGTTATGATAGTGGCAACGGTTAGAATAGTTTCAACAGCCTTGCTGAGAGACAACCAAGTTTAAAATTCCCTACTATAGGTCTCCCTGTCCAAAGAACCTCATTAGACTGGCTCCCTCACAGTGTTCCAGAAACTGGACAAAGACTTGTTAGGCCACACAGGGGCTAGTGGGGTTCCTGCATATTGCTTTCTCCTGTGGCTTCTGCTTTTGAATTCAGATGCTGAGTTCATCATAGTATGTTTGGGTTGTGACAGCTCATTAGGAGAACTGCATTGCTACTTGGGAAACCTGCGGTGTGAACGTGGTAGGACATGGGTAGGCAAACTAAGGACCGGGGGCTGGATCCGACCCAATCGCCTTCTCCATCCAGCCCGCAGACAGTTTGGGAATCAGCGTGTTTTTACATGAGTAGAATGTGTCCTTTTATTTAAAATGCATCTCTGGGTTACTTGTGGGGCCTGCCTGGTGTTTTTACATGAGTAGAATGTGTGCTTTATTTAAAATGCATCTCTGGGTTATTTGTGGGGCATAGGAATTTGTTCATTTCCCCCCCCCCCCAAATATAGTCTGGCCCCCACAAAGTCTGAGGGACAGTGGACCGGCCCCCTGCTGAAAAAGTTTGCTGACCCTTGGTGTAGGGTTATTGACCAAATGCGATTGGGTTTGCGATTCGTGCATAACATAGTAGAATCACAGAATCATAGAATCATAGAATCATAGAGTTGGAAGAGACCACAAGGGCCATCGAGTCCAACCCCCTGCCAAGCAGGAAACACCATCAGAGAACTCCTGACATATGGTTGTCAAGCCTCTGCTTAAAGACCTCCAAAGAAGGAGACTCCACCACACTCCTTGGCAGCAAATTCCACTGTCGAACAGCTCTTACTGTCAGGAAGTTCTTCCTAATGTTTAGGTGGAATCTTCTTTCTTGTAGTTTGGATCCATTGCTCCGTGTCCGCTTCTCTGGAGCAGCAGAAAACAACCTTTCTCCCTCCTCTATGTGACATCCTTTTATATATTTGAACATGGCTATCATATCACCCCTTAACCTCCTCTTCTCCAGGCTAAACATGCCCAGCTCCCTTAGCCGTTCCTCATAAGGCATCGTTTCCAGGCCTTTGACCATTTTGGTTGCCCTCCTCTGGACACGTTCCAGTTTGTCAGTGTCCTTCTTGAACTGTGGTGCCCAGAACTGGACACAGTACTCCAGGTGAGGTCTGACCAGAGCAGAATACAGTGGCACTATTACTTCCCTTGATCTAGATACTATACTCCTATTGATGCAGCCCAGAATTGCATTGGCTTTTTTAGCGGCCGCGTCACACTGTTGGCTCATGTCAAGTTTGTGGTCAATCAAGACTCCTAGATCTTTTTCACATGTACTGCTCTCAAGCCAGGTGTCACCCATCTTGTATTTGTGCCTCTCATTTTTTTTGCCCAAGTGCAATACTTTACATTTCTCCCTGTTAAAATTCATCTTGTTTGTTTTTGCCCAGTTCTCTAATCTGTCAAGGTCATTTTGAAGTGTGATTCTGTCCTCTGGGGTGTTAGCCACCCCTCCCAGTTTGGTGTCATCTGCAAATTTGATCAGGATGCCCTTGAGTCCATCATAGAACTGTAGAGCTGGAAGAGACCCCAAGGGTCATCTAGTCCAACCCCCTGCAATGCAGGAATGGCTAAGAGATTGATATGTGAAACCGGCACCGTTCTGGCAGCTCAGTATGAACTGTCTGAAATAAGCAGCACTGGCAACTTTTGCCTCTCCCTCTGCCCCCCTCCCACAACAGCAAGTTACTGATTCATGTCACATATTGCCACCAGAGAGATAATGCACAAGTTTTTTTTTAATGAAACAGTTTAAATATATGTTCTAAATATCCCTAGCTATATGTGCTATTTAATGGTTTTGCTATTTGTCTGCTCATGATTTTGATTCTAATGTAATAAGTTGCAAGGCACAAAATAAAAATCACAATGAAATGTACATTTGAAGGGCTAAGCCCTTGTCCAAAGGCATATAAGGTCTTGTTCAAGTGCAGTCCATACTCACTTTTCTAGTTAGAGCAAGCACATAGCAAATGTTTCAACATGGATGCTACTAAAGGTGTGTGGGAATCTCTCTTTCCCCCTAAATAGTTAAGAATGTTGTTATGTTCCAATCTCTAGTGGAAATGAATGTCATTATTTACAAAACGAAAGCAAAACTCATTACAATAACTGTTTATAATGGCATTGTATTTTCTAAAACGTACCAGTTTTAGATGGCTGCAGCATCGCCTCAGGTTTCATTTGAGTCCTTTCTGTTCTTTCCCCTGTTTAGCTATGATGAAGTTCCACATTCTGAATACTCTCCAGTGTTCTGAAGCCATCATGAGTGGAGGTGTCTACGAGACCTTGGAAGGCAATACTGTCGAAGTTGGCTGTGATGGCGACAGCTTGACAATCAATGGCGTCAAAATGGTGAAGCGAAAAGACATTGTGACAAGCAATGGTGTCATTCATCTAGTAGACCAAGTGCTTATTCCTGACTCCGGTGAGTCTTCTTCTTCTTTGGCGATCACTCGTAGCCGAGTAAGAATGTCTTCCTTAAACACGGTTTTAACAGTGAGTCCATAAGTGACTGTGGAGGCCAATTCTGGATCCTTCCACAGTAGGGACATAGGTTTCCGGGCGGGAGTTGGTCACGGTGAGGGTTTGCCAAGCGTGCCTTCCTCTTAGCACATTTCTCCCTTTCTTCATGAGTTCAAGTGTCTTCAAAGCCCATGACACCTTTGGTAGAGGCTGTTCTCCAATTGGAGCGCTCACAGGCCGGTGTTTCCCAGTTGTCTGTGTTTATACTACATTTTTAAAGATTTGACTTGAGAGTGACACACAGGTGACTTCCAATCCTATGCACTTTCTCTAGTACTAATTGACCCCTGGAATAGATAGGCAGGTAGTCTCAACTAATTGTCTCTTTTGAAGAAGTAACCCATTTATGAACTCTATGGATATTCCTTGTGTATCCTTTTAAAAATATTTGTCTGCTTGGCGAGAGTTTTGGAGCGAAACCTAATGTCCACCCATTTCTTCCTCAATTTCAGCTAAGCAAGTTATAGAGCTTGCTGGTCCTCAACAAACCACCTTCAAAGATCTGGTGTCTCAGGTTGGCTTGGCCGCAGCTTTAAAGCCAGAGGAGGAATATACCTTGCTAGCTCCAGTGAATGGGGCTTTCTCCGGTAGGTAGACCGACAGACTTGGTGGCACAAAAAATAACTCTTAAGAGATATCTTAAATATCTTCTTCAACAACTTTGTGAAGAAGTCCAACACGAGAGAGTTGAAACTACTTACAATCACTGAAACTGAAATCCCCTTGATAGATTTAGGATGCTCAGGCTCTACAAATAAGTCTTGATCAATACAAGAAGATAGCTCTGTGAGACCTGTTGCTGGAAGTCCATGGGACCTCCATGGCTAGGAGTGAGTGCCTGGTAGTTCCAGCTATGGTTGCTTCACTGTCATGGGACATGGGTGGCACTGTGGTCTAAACCACTGAGCCTCTTGGGCTTGCCGATCAGAAGGTCGGCGGTTCAAATCCCCACGACAGGGTGAGCTCGTGTTGCTCTGTCCCAGCTCCTGCCAACCTAGCAGTTCGAAAGCACGGCAATGCAAGTAGATAAATCGGTACTGCTGTGGCGGGAAGGTAAACGGCTCTGTGTGCTCTGGTTTCCATCACGGTGTTCTGTTGCACCAGAAGTGGTTTAGTCATGCTGGCCACATGACCTGGAAGGTTGTCTGTGGACAAACGCCAGCTCCCTCGGCCTGAAAGCGAGATGAATGCTGCAACCCCATAGTTGCATTTGACTGGACTTCACCGTCCAGGGGTCCTTTACCTTTACCTTTCATGGCTTCAGAGGGAGAGGCATTCCTGAGGAGCCAGTCTTATCAACTGCTGGTGGAAGCACAAATGCTGGAGGAGGAGAGTCATTGCTCTGTTCACTGATGCACACACATATATATGCACAAAGACTGGCCTGACTGAGTTGTCATTACTACAGCCTGTGAGGACAGTAACATTTGACTCAAATTCCTGGTATGGATGTGTCTGGACTTCCTTTAAAAAGAGTAAGAGCCATAGAGAGAATTTCCCCTCCCCCAAATTCCCACTTATGTCTATGACTAAACCACATCCACATCCAAGCTTGGAGCTTGGAGAGGCTCCAGATGGGTACAAATATGGGATAATGAGGCTCGTCTTGACCAAGAGAAAAGACTGCCACTGCATCCCAACCTACTACTGCCATCACTATGACAGAGCCATAGTTAAAGGACCTCCCTCCACACATAGTCTTTCTCCGCACCTATGCATTTATTTGACCACTCAAATAGTTCTTCACGCATCTGAATTCAGTGGAGGACAGTGCATCATGCAAGCTACTGCATGCTTTAAAAAGAGGCAATTGTTGGTTTTTGGGTAAATAACAGATGTGAAAGAATGAGGCCAAAGCTGAATGGAGGTGGATAACATTTCCATTATATCTGAGATTATATGTAAAACTACATGAACGAAACCTAATTTAGGCATTATGTTCTATCCAAACTGTTAGATGACGTCTTAACTACAGACCAGAGGATCCTCAGATTGATTCTGCAGAATCACATTTTGAAAGTGAAAATTGGCCTGAATGACCTCTACAATGGACAGTTCTTGGAGACCTTGGGAGGAAAGAAGCTCAGAGTATTTGTGTATCGTACAGTAAGTGAATTTTAAAACTTGGGAAACATTTATGACAGCAAAAGATTGCAATGTGTTGGAACTGCTGGAAAAGGGATAGGGTTCTCCAACGTAATCTTGAAAATCTACACTATTATGTTACTTCACTGTGCCTTATTAAAAACATTTTTAAAATTTCAGTAATTCTTGGACCCCAAAGTTAAATCTGGAATCCTTGCTAAACCATCTCCAACAATTCTATAGTTAAATATGTGACTGTGCTAGGAACCTGGCAGGTACCGGTTTTGAAAGGTATTCTTTACACAGTACAGTCGTACCTTGGAAGCCAAACGGAATCTGTTCTTGAAGTCCATTCGACTTCCAAAACATTCGAAAAACAAAGTGCGGCTTCTGATATGCTGCAGGAAGCTCCTGCAGCCAATTGGCAGTCGTGGAAGCCCTGTTGGACGTTCAGCTTCCAAAAATAGTTTGAAAACCAGAACACTCACTTCCGGGTTTCGATCGTTCGGGAGCCAATTAGTTCAGGAGCCAAGGCATTCAAGATCTATACGACTGTATCATTTTCAATATTTACAGTTGGAGAGATCCAGTGCCCTTTGAGAATAAGAGTAAATTATGTTGCCCCGTTTTAACAGAAATTGGATTTTACCATGGAAATCCAGTATCCAAAGTTGCCCAGTGATTTTCCCTGCTCTGCTTGTGTTCTTAGTATTCCTTTGATTTAAAGTGGGGCAGGAGCAAGCTCTAAAGAGCCAGGATCCGAAATGTTTTTCTTCTGTATCTGGAGGTAAATCTTATAAGGAATGAGTCCATTGTTTCATCTCCCCAGTGTTTCTGGTTAGCAATCTTGTCCATGAGCTTTTGGCAGTGTGTGGCCTTTGGGAAAGAAGGATTGTATACGGTTTTACAGAGAGGTGTAGTGAATTATTCACAGTTGTACTTTTTAATGATGTCTAGCTGTGAGATTGACAGCAGCTGGGAAAGTGCATGATTTAAAGCAAGAATCTTGGGAACCAATACCCACTTTTAACCCCAAAATGCATTTGGGGACACATTTCTTAGTCTTTTTCCACATATTTGCATTTGGGGACCCATTTCTTAGTTTTTTACCATATATTTGCATAGTGGTAGTGCTATGTGTGAGAGCCAGTGTGGTGTAGTGGTTAAGAGCGGTAGACTCGTAATCTGGGGAACCGGGTTCGCGTCTCCACTCCTCCACATGCAGCTGCTGGGTGACCTTGGGCCAGTCACACTTCTCTGAAGTCTCTCAGCCCCACTCACCTCATAGAGTGTTTGTTGTGGGGGAGGAAGGGAAAGGAGAATGTTAGCCGCTTTGAGACTCCTTCGGGTAGTGATAAAGTGGCATATCAAATCCAAACTCTTCTTCTTCTTCTCCTGTTGTGACCCACCTTGGACAGGCTGTGTCCTGCTAGTGGGTCCCAATCCACCAGTTGAAGACCAGTGATTTAACAAATTAGAAGAATAAGATTGGAAGGCAGTTCCATGTGTTGAGTACATCAATGGAAAAAAATTGATTTCAGAGAGCAAGGATTGATGCCAGCAATCAAATTGACTTGTTGGAAAGGTGACTAGTGAGCCCGATGCTCCTGAGAATCCGAGAACTGAGGCTTTAAACTTGGAAATGGGTTGTGTAATAAATATAGGGGTTGCTCGTGCGTAAGTTGCCGCCACTCCTGGCTAGGTTGCCTTGTTAAAACCTTTTCTGTTTGGACAGCCCTTCACTTCGTGGCTGTTTCAGTCGCTAGCAGAATCCGTCAGTGGGCGTTTCTTAAACCTTTTCCAGCATAAAAGCTGTTTGACGCCAAGTCTCCTCCTACTCTCCCTGCGCGGAAGTCTTCTGCGCAGGGAGGGTGTGGGTAGCGGAGGACCCGTGCTCTCCCCGCTGGTCTCCGGCGAGGAGTCCTGGAGCCCCGTCGCCGATTCCCCCATCTCCCTGGTGTTACGCTGATTTCCTTCCCCAGCTGATGAGCAGCCTCTCTCCCTGCTGGGCCCTTCTCCAGCATCGCTTGGGAGCCTTGCCTCCGCCTCTAGCTCCGATGTCAGTTCCCTGACAGGTTGCCATTAGGGATGGGGAAGAAACTTGATTCACCTCACATTTATAGGCAAATCTATCTAACTAGCTGTTTTCCAAACAATACATGAGGCAAAGTAGAGTAATCCTTAAAAATTCATACTTTTATGAATTTTGCAGTACAGTTCTCCAGCTGAGTAATGTCAAAAACATGTATGCTAGGCTAACGTTGTATATACAAAAGTATGCATTAAGAGAATTGCTTTGCATAAAAAATGTGTATATTTGGGGAAATTGCATACAAGAATGTGTATGTTAGGAGTTCTTGACACTGAAATTCTGGTGTACAGTGGTACCTCAGGTTACAAACACTTCAGGTTACAGACTCTGCTAATCCGGAAGTAGTACCGTGGGTTAAGAACTTTGCTTCAGGATGAGAACAGAAATTGCATGGTGGTGGCGTGGCGGCAGAGGGAGGCCCCATTAGCTAAAGTGGTGTTTCAGGTTAAGAACGGAGCTCCAGAACGAATTAAGTACGTAACCAGAGGTACCACTGTATTTTCATGTGGATTAAAAATAATAATAATCACAGACTGATGAGGAAATCAGTAAGAACTGAATTTAAGATTGGAAAAAGGAGAACTTGCAAAATTTGCCAATCTCTAGTGGCCTAGCCTGAACCATGAGAGCTGTTCCTTTGCTAGTTGTACTTTAAAGAACGGTACTGAAAGAGAAATCTTTCCAGATTCAGTTTCTCCCATCGATCCAAGTGTTTGATGGGAAAGGCTATCTGGGGAGAACGTGTGCCTTAAAAGGGAAGGAGACCTTTCAGAATATTGCAACCCTGGGAATAATCTGAGCCAGAGTACAAAATTTGGGTTCTGAGAATGTTTGAAGACCATTTAGATACTTTTAAAACTGTTTCCTGTTCCTGCCTTGGATTTCTTCATGTCCATCCAGTTTAGCTTGTAAACACATTCTGGGAGAACGGTATATTTCAAATACAAACAAACGGCTGGCTTTAAGTAAAAAATAAATCAAAACATTTCTGTGGTTTCTTCATAGCCACAGTAGGAAAATGTTCCTTAACATTCCCTCCCCTTGTTCCCTTGAAAAGTCGCACAGCAGCTCAAAGTTCTGTGGACCAAAGCAAACTTCTTGGTGCCATGCAAACATGATCAGTAAGAGATTCTCTCTTCACTCCATCCATCTAGAAAAAAGCTGTCCCATTCGTTGCTATACTGCACATTTTGTATAGCCAACAGGGAACATTGGTTCCTGAAAAGAGCAGAAATTAAACACCCGCAAGAGAACTGGGTGAACTACATTTTATATAGCACAAATGTTTGGAGAAGTCGCATAATCCAGAGCTTGTTTAATATGTTTCCCCACAAGGCTGATTTTTGTGATACTTCTGTTTATTTTTTCATTACTAGGCTGTATGTGTTGAGAATTCATGCATGGTTCGAGGAAGCAAAGAGGGAAGAAATGGATTTATCCACATTTTCAGGGAATTAATTGATCCAGCAGAGAAAACTCTACATGAAGTATTGAGATCGGATAAACGATTCAGGTAAACCATGATTTTTAACTGTATCAAAACTCCGCCCCCCCCCCCCGCAAACTAAACAGAAAGATGAGATCTCAGTTATACACGCTGAGACTGAGTGATGTTGAGAATCATTCTAAAAAAATTGCTCACCCTCAGTTTAACTGTTGTTGTTTTAGGCTTGGAGTGAAAATTATCTAAAATCATAATAAAATCCACAAAGTGTCTTGAGTGGATGATTCTTGTCACCAGTTTTATTGAATAGCCTGCCATCTGTAATTAGAGGTTTGGGTGATCATAAAATGAAACGATTATTTTAATACTTAGTAATTTAAGAAGCAAACAGTGGCTCATAAGTCCGCAATGAAATTTTCAAAGAAAAGCTGGGGCTAGATCCCAGGGAAACCTCCAAACCTTTCAGACCTCAGATAGATAGATAGATGATAGATGATAGATGATAGATAGATAGATAGATAGATAGATAGATAGATAGATAGATAGATGATAGATAGATAGATAGATAGATAGATAGATAGATATAGATAGATAGATGATAGAATCTTTATTTGCATCAGCCGCAAGCCATAACAAAGGAATCAAATACAATAAAGTTCAGACCACAGTTGGAAGGGAGAATTCCAGTTCTAATGCCGTCTTGATAGGAGAAGCAGCATCTGTGCCAATTTTCCTTATGAGTAGCGCAAAGATACAGGAACTGTCTTGGTACTTGCATTTTGGAGCTCTAAATATATACTACCTCTAAATGTACTTTGGCAGATATATTGCGTATGCATGTGAATGTCAACTATTATCATGATCAAGTCCACAAAGCTGGAGGCAAGACTGCAATATATATATTTTTTAAAAAAACAGCAACTATAATGTTCTCCAGGAAAAAAATCTGACTAGGAGAATGAATCATTTATTGCTTTCCACATTTTCCAGCCAGAAATGTCGGAGGGTATATCAGAAAAAGAGAGTTCTATATTTTCACCGCCTTGCTGTTCGTATCTTCTTGCTGGTTGCTCCTATCCTAGCATGCTTGTGGTGCTTTTTCTTTCTTTAGATTCAAGGAAAAGAGGGAAAAGATGAAAAGCAGAATCCTTGCTGTTTATGTCTGAAACATCCCAGTAGAATTCAGTCACGTAAATTGCCTAAATATAGCCAATATAGCATCCTCCAGATGTTGTTGGACTACCACTACCAGAATCCCTGAAAGTTGGTCATTCTGGCAGGGCCCGATGGGAATTGGAGTCCTACAACAAACTGAGGATGCCATATTGGACTGCTGTAATGTGCTGTATGTGTGGCTGCCCTTGAAGATGGTCTGGAGCTGGTAGCTAATGTGGAATGTGGCTTCTATACTGGTAATGGGGGCAGAACAAAAGGGACAATGTGTCACCAGACCTGAATGTACTGCACTGACTGCCAGTGAGCTACTGGGCCCAATTCAAGGGGTTATTATTATCATAAAGGTAAAGGTAACGGACCCCTGACAGTTAAGACCAGTCGTGAACGACTCTGGGGTTGCGGCACTCATCTCGCTTTACAGGCCAAGGGAGCCGGCATTTGTCCACAGACAGTTTTTCTGGGTCATGTGGCCAGCATGACTAAGCTGCTTCTGGCGAAACCAGAACAGCGCACGGAAATGCCGTTTACCTTCCCGCCAGAGTGGTACCTATTTATCTACTTGCACTTTGATGTGCTTTTGAGCTGCTAGGTTGGCAGGAGCTGGGACAGAGGAATGGGAGTTCACCCCGTCGTGAGGATTCAAACTGCCGACCTTCCGATTGGCAAGTCCTATGCTCAGTGGTTTAGACCACAGCGCCACCCATGTCCCTTATTATCAGCATACAGAGCTCTAAATGTTTTGGGACCCAAGCAGCAACTTACCCAGTGTCAACCATCTCAGACCCTACAATTGGCAGGTGGGACCTTGGTGGTGTTGCCACCACCGGGAGCTTCCTAGTTGGCGTTGACCCATGACAGGACTTTCTTGTGGCAATTCCCCATTTGTGGAATGCCATTCCTGGTGAAGTGCATCTTGTTTCCTTCATTTCTGACTTCCAGGAGGAACTCAGAAATATCCCTGTTTATCCAGGCATTTGATGGCTGAAATACAGTGTTCCTGGCAATCCCTGAAATCACTAGTTGTGTGAATAGGTTTTAAATAATAATAATAATAATAATAATAATAATAATAATAATAATAATTTATTTATACCCTGCCCATCTGACTGGGCTTCCCCACTCTGGGCAGCTTCCAACAAAATATTAAAATACAGTAATGCATCAAACATTAAAAGGTTCCCTAACCAGTTTTAAACTGTTAAGAAAATGTTTTTGAAATATTTTAAACTTGGTTTTAGATTTTTTTCTCAGTTTTCAACGCTTTTAAAAGATCGTGATGGTGAATATGATGATGATTGATTAGTTTGCCACCCTTCATTCCTTCATAATATGAATCTGTCTTTAGGGACTCTCTTCTGCCTGTGAAGAAGTTCATCAGAAACAATAGGACAATGTTCCTATCTTCACGCAGAAACTGGGCAGTTGTTAATTGTTTTGTGCTCTCTTTTCTTCCTCAGCACATTCCTCAGCCTAGTGGAAGCAGCAGACTTAGAAGAGGTTCTTTCTCAACCTGGTGACTGGACCTTGTTTGTCCCAACTAATGATGCTTTCAAAAGCTTGACTGAGCAGGAGAAACAGACCCTGATAAGTAAGTAGGTCACAAAAAGAAGATCACAGAGCCAGTGGCTTCTCTGCTGTAGTCCTTTTCAATGTTGTGAGCAGTGCTGGATTTACGTATAAGCTAAACAAGCTGCAGCTGAGGTCTCCACTCTCTTGGGGGCCCCAAAAAAATTTAAAGGGAAAAAAAGAACTGGATGTACATTTCCAAAATATAAAATAAAAAACAAATACACTAAAACCTACATACAGCAACAGTGTTTTGCATTGTGTAGGCTCCTATGATGTAGGTAATGGGCCCCGCCTGCTAGCTTGCTCCCTAAAATATCACTGGTTTGCTCATTTATATATATAGGGTTGTATTTCACTATTAATATACTTCTTCTTAATTGTATTTCAGTTCAACAATTACTTGATAAAATACATATTTTGTTATGTGCAAATGGCTTTAGATACCTATTAGGTCCACAAATTACCATATAGCATATATTCAGCAACAAAAAACCAGTGTCAATTTGTTGTTGACGAAGGACAGCTGGACATATAAAGGGCCCCATTACCTCCAGTAGTTTAGGGCCTCATCAAACCTAAATCCAGCCCTGGTTGTGAGAGATGCTGTGTGATTTCTCTTGGCCACTTTAGCTTCCCGAAGTCTCTAGGACTGAAAAGAGGAAGACACCTCTTTCTTCTACCAAGTTCTATAGCAGCTGTGGTTGTCTATTGCAGAATAAAACAACAAAGCTCCTGTTTGGACATTTTGATACTAACCATTAAGCTTTTACAATACAATACGAATCTTTACTGCGTTCATAGACCAGAATTTAAGCCTTTAAAGATCCTTGACTTTTCTTGGAAAAACTTCCACTTCCTACAGACAAAGTGTATTCAATTAATTAGTGGATATTTTCTGAGAATACACGCTTCTGACAGTCACAGCAGGAGTAGACAGAATATGCATTTTTAAAAACCAGGCAGAGTACACAGCAGAGGATTCCAATACACATGCAATCATGCTGAATTGGAAGGGAATCAAAAAAAACAATGACAGTGAGCCAGGCAGATTTACGACCTTAAGCTTGGAGATCGAGAACAGTGATGAGAAAGGGGTGGTGGTGAAAAGTTTATGAAAAGATCCATATTGAAGACTGCTTCTGAGTGATCACATGCATGGCGGGAGATGATGATGATGATAGTTTATTATTTATATCCCGCCCATCTGGCTGGGTTTCCCCAGCCTCTCTGGGAGGCTCCCAACAGAACATTAAAAACACAGTAAAATGTCAGGGCTGCTTTCAGATGTCCTCTAAAAGTCAGATAGTTGTTTATTTCCTTGACATCTGATGGGAGGGCGTTCCACAGGGCGGGCGCCACTACCAAGAAGGCCCTCTGCCTGCTTTGCGCAAGAACATTAAATGAACTTCATCACCATACCTACTCTTGAATGATTTGTTGTTGTTTAGTTGTTTAGTCGTGTCTTACTCTTCGTGACCCCATGGACCAGACCATGCCAGGCACTCCTGTCTTCCACTGCCTCCCGCAGTTTGGTCAGACTCATGTTTGTAGCTTTGAGAACACTGTCCAACCATCTCATCCTCTGTCGTCCCCTTCTCCTTGTGCCCTCCATCTTTCCCAACATCAGGGTCTTTTCCAGGGAGTCTTCTCTTCTCATGAGGTGGCCAAAGTATTGGAGCCTCAGCTTTAGGATCTGTCTTTCCAGTGAGCACTCAGGGCCGATTTCTGTAAGAATGGATAGGTCTGATCTTCTTGCAGTCCATGGGACTCTCAAGAGTCTCCTCCAGCACCATAATTCAAAAGCATCAATTCTTCGGCGATCAGCCTTCTTTATGGTCCAGCTCTCACTTCCATACATCACTACTGGGAAAACCATAGTTTTAACTATACGGACCTTTGTTGGCAAGGTGATGTCTCTGCTTTTTAAGATGCTGTCTAGGTTTGTCATTGCTTTTCTCCCAAGAAGCAGGCGTTTTCTAATTTCGTGACTGCTGTCACCATCTGCAGTGATCATGGAACCCAAGAAAGTAAAATCTCTCACTACCTCCATTTCTTTTCCTTCTATTTGCCAGGAGGTGATGAGACCTGTGGCCATGATCTTAGTTTTGTTGATGCTGAGCTTCAGACCATATTTTGCATTCTCCTCTTTCACCCTCATTAAAAGGTTCTTTAATTCCTCCTCACTTTCTGCCATCAAGGTTGTGTCATCAGCATATCTGAGGTTATTGATATTTCTTCCGGCGATCTTAATTCCAGTTTGGAATTTATCCAGTCCAGCCTTTTGTATGATGAATTCTGCATATAAGTTAAATAAGCAGGGAGACAATATACAGCCTTGTCCTACTCCTTTCCCAATTTTGAACTAATCAGTTATTCCATATCCAGTTGATACCCGTTTTGAATTTCAGGGGCCTGTGAATAAGATATACACAAACTGTTGAAATAAACAAATCAATAATACACTAAAATCCAGCCCTAGTTGATAATCTCTTGGATTATTCACAGTCTACTATGCTTTCTATGAAACTCTGAACACTGCTAGAGGCAACAACCTTGTTACTGTGTATTTATTTTATTTTTACTTTTTCAGGGGTGAAAGAGCCCCTGGTCTTGTCAGAGGTTCTTCATCCCAGCTCAACTCTCTGATTTTCCTTGTGGATGTGAAAAGAAACCAGATCTTGAATTTAGGGCATTTTGTTCTGGGATAAGGGATTAAAAGGTAAACAGGTTCTCTGTAGCACAAAAAATAAAATAAAAATAAACAGCTCCCCTGTAGGAAACTTTACTTGCCAGTGGGAAGGCTTGGTGAATCATTGATCCAACCGTACTTACGCCCATCTCTGGTTTTCTTCCATAGGGGACCAAAATGCTCTCAGGAATATTCTGCTTTATCACTTAACTCGAGGAGTTTTCATTGGAAGCGGATTTGAACCTCGTGTGACCAACATCCTCAAAACTATCCAAGGCGGCAAATTGTACTTGAAAGTTGTGAGTATTGACAGTAACCTTTCGACAAGAATGATTAACCCTGTCATTTAAGTTGAAGGACGAAGACAGTATTCCGAGAGATGTGCGAAACCTGCCAAGAAATTACTTTGATTTTGTCAGAACTCTTTTGGCTTCTCTTGCAGTCCCTAAAGCGTTTTGCCAGAAGAGGATTTTCTAACAGTGGCGTAGCGTGGGGGGTGCAGGGGGGGCCGGCCGCACCGGGTGCAACATCTGGGGGAGGGCGCACTCGCACTCGCAGCTCTCTGCCCCTACCTGGCTCACTCACTCTCACTGCAGTGCTGGCTGTGCAAATCCGATCCGAGCCGCTGGGTCGCCGCCCACTGTGGAGGGGGTGGGTGCCAGGTGTGCGGTGCGGAGAGAGAGCGAGGGACTATCTGGGGGAGGGACAGTGCAGCGGCCGCCCAGCGCAGCGCTGAGCGCAGGAGAGAACCACACCAGACCAGACCAGGCAGCAGCAAGAAGAAGCTGGCAGCGGCGGCAGGTTAGGGGTTAGGGGGCGCAAATTACTTGCCTTGCCCCGGGTTAGGGGGCGTAAATTACTTGCCTTGCCCCGGGTTAGGGGGCGCAAATTACTTGCCTTGCCCTGGGTGCTGACAACCCACGCTACACCGCTGTTTTCTAACATTGCCTTACCATGTGTATTCCACTATATAAGATACTAGACATTATAATAATATTTATTTCAACTGTTTGGAAATGTATTCTCTCTTTTTGTTGTTCACGTTTATTATTTAATCCTTAGGTGAATGACACTCTTCTGGTGAATGATTTAAAAGCAAAGGAATCTGACCTTATGGCGACCAATGGTGTGATTCATGTCATTGACAAGCTCCTGTATCCCGCAGGTGGGTTGTGGATTATTGTAATGTATTCACCCGTGTTCCTTAGACCATTCATGCGCTGTTTTCCAATCAAAAGGGAAGCAGGTTTTCTGTGGCATCTGACCATTTGGTAAATTGATTTAGTCATCTGCACAAATCTCACCTGATGGTAGATGAATGAATATTATACTCGTCTCCTATCTCTGAGCGGTGCCCCAGGAAAACTTTGCTGTCGCCTATGTTATGGTATTTTTAGCACACAAAGAGCTTTTCTATTTCCCAGGCTTTTTATTCTTAAATATTTTAGCAGTTTTCACACTATTGTATTGATATAATTCCCTGTTGCTAATTATATTTTAGTTCTTGTTTAGAGCTGGCTTTCTTTTGCTTTCGAGTTCTGTTTCATGTTGCATTTTATGGTTTTAATTTTTACTTAAAAATTACCCAGAGATGGTAATTTAGACGGTATAGAGTTGGTATATAAATATTGAAAAGAAATAAATGAAGCATTTAGCTCTCTGGGACAGAAGTACTTGAAAAACGCAATATTTATGTTTATAATTACTCTGAGGAAATGTGGTGCGTTTGAGAACTTTACATTCCCTTTCTCCCGTTTTCCAGTTCAAGTTATTCATATATAGGGCACAGCCGAAACATTTTACTGACTTTCCATTTTGAACAAACCAGAGTATTGCTTAGGATTTTCTCTCTGTGTTAAAATTATCTTTATCTCACCATACTTTGATTTATTTTTTTATTTATAAACAAAAACGTAGATGTACCTGTTGGAAATGACCAGCTCCTCACAATTCTGAAAAAATTGATTAAGTACATCCAGCTCAAGGTATGTTCTATAGATTGTAATCTGTGATAACACATAGAGCCAAATCTGAATCACACTGGTGGGTTTATTTCCACTGCTTTTTGTCCATGAGGCCAGAAAATATGTTTGTCATAGAACAGCAATGTCAGTGAGATGTGGGGCAGTTAACCATTCAGCAGATGCCCAAAGCAGAGACACATCAATAACTCCTATCCCACAAAGCATATCTACTTCACCAAATGTTGATGATCATCAATTCCATGATGTTCTTTTCCTGCTGCCTACTAAGGCTGTCCATAAACTCGACTTTGACATGGGTGCCAAGAGCCCTTAAGCTAAAGGTAAAGGGACCCCTGACCATTAGGTCCAGTCGTGGCCAACTCTGGGGTTGCGGCGCTCATCTTGTTTTATTGGCCGAGGGAGCCGGTGTACAGCTTCCGGGTCATGTGGCCAGCATGACTAAGCCGCTTCTGGCAAACCAGAGCAGTGCACGGAAAGGCCGTTTACCTTCCCGCCGGAGTGGTACCTATTTATCTACTTGCAGTTTGACATGCTTTCAAACTGCTAGGTTGGCAGGAGCAGGGACCGAGCAACGGAAGCTCACCCCATTGTGGGGATTCGAACCGCCGACCTTCTGATCAGCAAGTCCTAGGCTCTGTGGTTTAACCCACAGCGCCACCCATGTCCCGCCAAGAGCCCTTAGTAACAAGTAATTCCCCAAGTGCTTTTTGTTCAAGAGAATAGCAAATATAGAGAACAGCACAGAAATGAACTGGAATGAATAGAGACCAATGGCAAAGAAAAGAGAAGAAAAGAGAAATAATTTGGTATGTGGCAAGGTATCTGGTTGTGGACAGAGCCTTGAGGGCATAGCTGTCAACTGTTCCCTTTTTTTTAAGGGAAATTCCCTTATTCCAAATAGGATTCCTCACAAGATAAGGGAAAAGTTGACAGCTATGCTTGAGGGGTTGCCCCCAATTTGCCCTGTGCTCCAGTTTCTGCACTGCAGGTTTCAAAGGTGGACTTCACCTGTCAGAGATTCTTCAGCCGTGATTCCTGCAATTGCAAGGGAGTTGGGCTATTTAATCCTTGGGATCCCTCCCAGCTCTACAGTTCTATGATTCTGCAAGGCCTTATAAGGGAATGCTGTTGTCAGGGACTGGGCAGAAGAGGAATGATGGAGACCGCCTCCCCAGCCTGACCCTTCCAGAGAAGAAGACAGTTCACAGTTACAACAGGGGTTTGAGGGAAGTCACAGCTCAGGGGAAGATGAGGGAGAAAGTTGGGAAATAACAGTAGAGGAGGAGGAGGAGCTGGAGCAGCTGGCTGACACGTTATCACTAAAAAGCATCCAAGACCCACCATCTCCCAGATGCCAGCGAGCCTTAAAAGTAGGAGAGGAAAGAGCTTGGAGACAGATGGCCCTAAGCGACAACCGTAAAGGGCTTGCTGCTGTTGACGAAATGGGGAGTGGGTGAAAGGAGGGGTGGAGATTTACTCGGGACAGCCCATTATTCCAAGAGGCTGCGTTCTCAAGCCTCTCTCTGTAAATATTGAATAAAAAGCAGATGGTAAGGACTTTTCCTTGTCTTAGCCGTTCCTGGCAACCTGCTGTAGGGGTTGGTTCCTCTGCCGCCTGACAGCTGTGCACCATAGGTGCCAACTCCCTGGGGCCCTGGGTGTCCGAGCAACCACAAAATTCCCCATGAAGTGGCCAGGCACCCACAAATTTATGTACCAGGGCCATGCACATTGCAGGGCACCCAGAGCCCCGGGCAACCACAATCAAAGATGCTCAGGAAAGTGGAGGTTTCGAAATTAATGTCACAATAAACTCAGAGCAGCAGCTGCAGCAAAGAATAACTCCATATTGAGAGTCTCCCTTTCCCATTTCATAGAGCTTAGTCTGTGCCCTGGTGCCATTGCAATAGCATGTTTCACCCAGTGGCATCGCAAGGGGGCGGGGGTGTGCTCCGGGGGCCATGTCTGGGGGGTGACAAGAAGGGACCCTGTGGGGTGCTCACCCCACTGCCCCGTGCACAGCGGTGCACGCAGCCATCGCGCCGCCGCAGCCGCATGTAGAGGATCCTCCGCTCGTGTCCATTCAGTGCTCAAACAGTGCATGTGGCAAACCACTACATACAACACATGCACGGTGTTGCACACATGCGCTGTACATAGTGACAGTGCACATGCACCGGACATAGCGGTTTGCCGCTGGCGCCGCTCAAGCGCCGTACGGACGGCGGTGGGATTACTCCGCCACCGCTGCAGCCGCACGTGGAGGATCCTCCGTTTGTGGCTGCAGCCGCGAGCAGAGGATCCCGCCACCGTCCGTACGGCGCTTGAGCGGTGCCTGCGGCAAACCACTATGTACGATGCATGTGCGGCGTCACTACGTACAGCGCATGCGTCATACGTAGCAACGCTGCTCATGCGCCCTACGTAGTGGCACCGCACATGTGTCATATGTATCTGCGCAGTGCATGTGTCGTACGTAGCGGCGCCACGCATGCACAGCCAACGGTTTGCCCCACCCCAGGTGTCAGTTAGCCTTCGTTCGCCCCTGGTTTCACCTCCTCTATTCCACCTTATTGACTACTGTTGCAAGAAAATGCACAACGTGGTAAGAATGTAAGAACAGCCCTACTGGTTCAGGCCAATGGCATCCTGAGCCAGCATCCTGGTCTCAGTGGACAACCAGATGTCTGTGGGAAGCCTTTGAGCAGGACCAGAGCACAACTCCTGTCTCCCAACTTCTGATTCCCTGCAGCTGCTGCTGTTCAGAGGGATACTGCCCCCAGCTGTGGAGGTACAAAACATCAGGATGCAAGCTCAGTTTTGATGACGAGTTCAGGCTACAGGCTGAGTTTTACTAGATGTTTACTAGAGGGGAGTTTTGGCAACCCTGTGTTTTGTGGGAACATTTAGTTCTTGGCCAAAAATGGGATTATTATTTTTTTTAATGGGAGTCCTAGATTAACTTCCAAGGATCTCTGCTCCTCTGTGTTGCATGCTTCAGATGACATTCTCGCCATGTGAACTTGACCCCATGTGCTGCCGGTGTGATGGTCATTTCTTCCTTGTGAAATGTGAAGTATTGTTTTCCACTTCCCTTTAGGTACCACCAGATTTAACTCATCTTTCTCTCCCCTCCACAGTATGTCCGTGGCAGCACATTCAAAGAGATTCCATTGACATTTTACAGTAAGTATTTTTAAAGGTGACATGAACAGTCGCAAATGTTTGATGGGATGGAGGGATTCGAATGTCTGTTTTGGATAACTAGAACTGTCAAATAAGGGTCAGGAAATTGGGGGGCAATACTGCATGTGTGGCACAGAGTGGACACTAAAACAAATGTCCCTAAAACTCATTCATTAGCAGATGATCACCCATTTTGAAGCCTGGTTTTTCCATTCAGTTCATAGTGAAGATAACTCTCCATTCATGAATGTCCATTAATGTTAACTGTCCATTCATGGATGTTCATGGCTTGAAGAAGAGTTGCTGTTGTTGCTACTGTGAGATGCAAACCAGAGATTTCAGCTGACTCCTTCAGCAAAATCGCTTCCTAAAAGGTGCAACTGGACTTTTAATATGAAAAAGCAAAGGCAGTCAAAATACATGGGACTTGGAAGTACTGAAATTCGGCAGGATCGTGCCCTGCATTTGTATCACCCAAATATATAGTTATTGTGCTGGTGAAAGAAGCACAAATAATTCTGGAAAATATAGCTTCATTAGGTCCAGTCGTGACCGACTCTGGGGTTGCAGCGCTCATCTCACTTTATTGGCCGAGGGAGCCGGCGTACAGCTTCCGGGTCATGTGGCCAGCAGGACTAAGCCGCTTCTGGCGAACCAGAGCAGTGCACGGAAACACCGTTTACCTTCCTGCTGGAGTGGTACCTATTTATCTACTTGCACTTTGACGTGCTTTCAAACTGCCAGGTGGGCAGGAGCAGGGACCGAGCAATGGGAGTTCACCCCATTACGGGGATTCGAACCGCTGACCTTCTGATTGGCAATATATATATATGGTACGGAGTTGTCTTTCAGTCAGAAAGGAGGTCGCTGTTAGCAAAGGGCTTCATTGGTATAGCATCACAGAATCACAGAATTTTAGAGTTGGAAGGGACCATGAGGCTCATCTAGTCCACCCCCTGAAATGCAGAAAACTTTTGCCCAATGTGGGGCTTGAACCCTCGACCCAGAGCTCAAGAGTCTCATGCTCTAACAACTGAGCTATCACTCTTTTTTTGATTAAAAAAAGGACTTTGGTGGCTACAGGTTTACTGATACCGCATCAGTTATCTTGCTAACGGGACTACCATTGTATATGTGTCAGGAACTCTCTTCACAGGTTCTTTTTCAGAGTTCGTTCACGGGGAACTTCCACAAGTACAGGAAGCTCCCTGCTTCAGAAATTCTCCCTCCAATATGTGGAGGGTGATCAGAACAGTGGCAGGGAGAAGAAATAGCATGGCTGTCCCCCTCCCCTCCCCACATGTTTAGTTTAACTCTGAAAAAGATTCTTTTTTGTTCTCTGGAACAAAAAGCATGCACAGTCTGCACCTCTTGAGGGCATTGCATTCTTGTTTTGGCCATGTCCCATAAAACACATTCAATCCCAGTGAGTTCCGCGATACCATTAAAAAGGACAGCGTAGGGTAGCCGTTTCTAACTCCACCAGTTTTTGCTTTCTTTTACTTTCAGCCACCCGAATTATTAGAGTTGTTGACCCCGAGACTAAAGTAATTGAGAGCAGCTTTGAGCCCAGCGTCCGAAAAGGTAAAAGTGGTTGGTTGGATGGAGTAATATGAATAATAGCCAAATAAAACTCAGAGACTTTGAGGTTGTGGAAAGGAAAAAAGCCCACAACGTGTTGAAATTGTGAGGTAAAAGCGAGAGATGCCACCAAAACTTAATCTATTGGAAAAATTAGTGCTGTGTGGGCCTTTGCCTATCCAAATCGGAAAGAGGCCAATTAAAACAGATTAATTTAGAAGAACATCCACTGCCCATTTGAAAACAATCTGTTTTGATTTTGAGGTGGAGGCAACAACCGCTACACTCCCTTTACCTGATGGTATCTATTGGAGAACTTCCTGCTACTTTTGCAAGTGGATCGCGTGGGTTTTTAAAATTTGTCAGTACAAATAACAAAAGATTATGACAATGGATTGGACTTCCCAAGCCGCAATTCTCAACAAATCCACTTCCAATTTTTACCTTAGAAGAACACTGGGGGAAAAATGTTTTAAATGCTCTAACCTTGAATGTGTGACTTTACAGACTGGCGATGAAAGAATGCAGGGAAAACTTAATAAGATCAGGGTTACTTAGGCAACCAAGTCCATGCTCATTTTGTGTTCTAAAAGGGGAATATAGAGTGGGCTTAATAATAGGTTGCCGCAAGCATAGACTGGGTCATATAGAAGTATAACTTAACCGAAAATGCATGTTCTTTATTAATGTTCTCCTTTAAGTTCTGTAATGATTGTATTTGTGGCTTGAAAGAGTAAGTCTGCTTCATCACACGGTCGCATCCATGCCATGTATTTAAAGCACTCTGATACCACTTTAACAGCCATGGCTTTTCTCCAAGAGTGCTGGAAACTGTAGCTAGTTATGGGGGCTGAGAACTGTTAGGAGACCCCTCAAAGATCTACGATTGTTACAAGCCTTAAATGCAGATCCCAGGATTCTAGAAGGAAGCCAAAAGCAGTGACTCACATTGAGTTATGCCAAAGGCAATAACTAACATTCAGTAATGCCAGGCTTATAGGTTAGAAAAGCAGTTCCCCGAGTGGAGATTAAATAAGCAGAGAAAATAGTGAGTGCTAATCACGCCCTCTATGCAGCCAACTTGTCATTGGCTGCCAGACTCGTCATCCTACCGCTGGCTTCGCCCCAGGGTATGATTTGTGTTGGGCAGGCTTCTCAACGTTGCTCACAATCCCACCTCTGATGACTCAAGAACAGTCCTCTTTGCAAGCCAATTCCAGCTTTTCTTTATATGCCAACAATTGCAACATTGGCAGCCACAAAAGAACACAGAAGCATTCTTCACAGGGACTCCCAAATGTGTGGAGAGACCAGAAGATACTTGGGCCAGGAAATGTCTTAGGAAGCCATATTCCAATCATTCATTCAAAAGGAAAGGGCTTGTCCACACCAGTGCCGAAATGTGTACGTGCTGCTGTTCGCCTCCCCATTTAATTTGTGTTGTGTGCATGATGTTCTCCTCATCCAACTGGCAACCCGAAGAGGGAAAGTAAATCCAATACAAAATGCTACATGGCTGTGAACACACTGTGTAAGCAGGTTCTGGTGATGTTTCTAGGGTGCCATGTTTTCCCTCAACTTTACTTCTGTTTTGTTTTTGACAGCCGAAAGGAAAGGCTGCGGTTATAACGGGACAACACTGGTTTCGGCTGTTGTTCTGCTCTGGCTCTGTATTTCAACATGTATTTTAGACACAATGCGTGGAAACACAGAAGAGATTTTACAGCCAGCATGAATAAGCAAATAAGCCAATGGTGGATACAATTCAAGCATAGTTAGGCACTTTTAAGCATCACTGACTTCACTGGAAAAGTTGAGCATGTGTTTAACTCAACAGGTCCTGGTGCTTAAATGTGATTAGATTATGCCCTTAGCTTTTTATCGGAGCTGGTCAAATGTTTTCTTATGTTTAGATTATGAAGCCTAGCACAACGTAAAAGTGTTTTAAAAACTGCAACCATCTGATTCTCTTGAAATATTTTCTTATCATTATCACAGAAATAAAGGTAGTTGGTGGCACCACAGTTCGAAAAGAGATTGAAGGTAATGTATCGTGAAAGAGGACAATTAATAGACTTCCCATAATATCCAGCTGTGAAGCAAAGCATCAAGCCTTTCCCCCCCACAAAATATTTGTGGGGCAGAAAAATCACAAAGTGAGGGAGCCAAGGACCAAGAGCAATTTGGTCCTTGAGCAATTTGGAAAACAGAATCTTTGTACTTCATTTGACCTCGAAGAGGGAAATGCTTCCTTCCCTATTTCCTATTAATGTTCTTTAAATGGCTGCTGCCAGTTTTGATGTAAGACTTCTGGGATGGCTCAGTCAAGAGAGCATGAGACTCTAAACCTCAGGGTTGTGGGTTTGAGCTCCACAGTGGGCAAAAGATTCCTGAAGTGCAGAGGGTTGGACTAGATGACTCTTGTGGTCCCTTCCAGCTGTACACTCTATGATTCTATGACATCATCAAGTGGTCAATGTGCTTCTGTTGAGTTTGCAGCCAAAATATTATAGCCACAAAAGAGCAGAGGCACAAAAGCAGCAAATGGGAATCAGAAATGTCAAAACCTTGAACCCGCCTGCACAGCTATTGCGAACAGATATCTCCCATGTTCCACAGGCCTACTTAATCCATGACACATTGGATTACACAGTTTAATTTAATGTATATCAATTCACACCAGGATCAAACACTCTACATATTTCGGGACGCGGGTGGCGCTGTGGTCTAAACCACTGAGCCTCTTGGGCTTGCCGATCAGAAGGTCGGCAGTTTGAATCCATGCGACAGGGTGAGCTCCCGTTGCTCTGTCCCAGCTCCTGCCAACCTAGAGGTTCAAAAGCATGCCAGTACAAGTAGATAAATAGGTACCGCTGCTGCGGGAAGATAAACAGCATTTCCGTGCACTCTGGTTTCTGTCACGGTGTTTTGTTGCGCCAGAAGCAGTTTAGTCATGCTGGCCACATGACCCGGAAAGCTGTGGACAAACGCTGGCTCCCTCGGCCTGAAAGCGAGATGAGTGCCGCAACCCCATAGTCACCTTTGACTAGACTTAACTGTCCAGGGGTCCTTTACCTTTTTCACCTTTACATATTCATGCTCTGGAATCCCAACCCAGTCTACAACAGTGGTCTCATATGTACCAGTCATGGCTTCCCCTAAAGAAATCTAGGCCGTTAAAGGTGTAGGCGGTTAACTGTAGAAACTCTACATTGTTAAGGGTGTTGAGAGTTATTAGGAGACTTCTCACAGAGTTCCCTGGAAAGAGGGAAATTGTAACTCTGTGAGCAGAACAGGAGTCTCCCAACAACCCTCAGTACCATTAACAAACTAGAGTTCCCAGTATTCTTTGGGGGAAGCTATGACTGTGAAAGTGATATAAGCAGTGTTTTTTCCCCTTAAAAGATGTTTAGGGGTACTCTCATTTTCCTACTCATATTGAAATACTGCCCCTCATTGAGGCCAAACTTAAATTCCCAAAATGTTTAGGGGTATGCGTGCCCCTGCATCCCCCCAGAAAAAAAGCACTAGATATAAGAGTCCATTCGAGATATGGTGCATCACTCTGAAGAATTATATCCTAGTCCCAATAGCTTTAGGATTGGCTCTGACACAAATGAGTAGGAGTTAATTTTGTCCGAGGCATTTTCATTAAGCATTGTTCGCTTTGTACGTCATATTTATAACGCACCTTCCCATTTTGAAATAATGCTTTTCAGGGCCCACTATTACAAGGCTCACCAAAGTGATTGAAGGGGACCCAGAATTTAAGCTGGTCAGGGAAGGCGAGACAGTCACTAAAGTTATTCATGGAGGTGAATATGTCTCACGGACTGCACATTACTAACCAGAATGGTTCGGAAGAGGCAGTTCCCAGTTCTCTTAAACTGCTGGATTTCTTCTTAGCATGTGTTATAATGATGTATTGCAACTATACAGTTTTATTATTAAACCCTTTGCCTCGCTTTCCCTTCTTCTTGGAATGTTTTCTCTCTCTTTTTCATTTTGTGCACTGAATTTTTGCTTTCTCTATTTTTTCACACCTGCCCTCTGAATTGTACCCATGAGATGAAATGTGGAAAAACTCTTTTGCCAGCTCTTTTGATTCCTTCGTATTCTAACATAAGTAGCATGTTTCTCAGAATCATGAATGAGCCTCAAGAAACTTGATGTTTTGTCATCCTAGCTGTGAACAAAAAAATGAAAACTACCTGCCAGCCTACCCAAAGGCTCAACTAAATATTTATTTATTTTTAAATAATATATTATGTTCATAGCTTGAGATGGTGAATATTTGACATGGGCATGCTTGGGAATGTAAATGACTTTCTTTGCACTCTTCTGCAAGGCCCTGAGTGAGAACTTTTAATCTAACCATTTCTAACATTGACCCTCTTGCCTCAATGGCTGCATAACGGAGACAATGAGGAAACATCGAAATAATCCAGTGAATTGACCGTCTCTAACTTTTTAAAACATCTTTATAGAGCCTAAAATTAAAAAATACACGAAAATAATTGATGGTTACCCTGTGGAAGTGACTGAAAAAGAAGTGACTGAAGAAAGAATCATTCAAGGTAAAAAAAAATGTGTCAAAAATACACCCAGTTTTGAAAACAAAAGCTTTATAACGAAAATAATATGCAGAGTTTTAAAGGTTTCCTGATGGAGTCCACTTCTGATTCTGGGCCATTTGAGATGGTTACCAGAAGCAGAACAAACCTTTTCATAGAATGGCCATATAATCTCAGTTCTTGAGAAAAGACCTTAGGAGGAGGAAGAAACAGCCCTCAATCAAGGAATTCCATTCCCACCTTAATGTTCATTGCCATCTTCCATCATTGCCATCTCATGTTCCTCTTATTTGTTATCTGTTTGCTGCATATTTGTTTGTTTGTTTGTTTGTTTCTTTGTTTGTATAAAAAAATTATATACCACTTGATTGTAATAAAACCTTAAAGTAGCTTAATTTTTCTTAAAAAAAATACAGTTTTTTTTTTTTAAAGATAGTTGAAAACTGATATTGAAAAACATTCAAAAACTAATTAAAAACAACAATAAACTAAAAACAGATGCAAGCGCATCCAACTTAGATATGTCAGGAGTGGCTTGCCTAAGCGAAAATATTTAATGTAGGTATTAAAGTAAATATTAAAGTAAATATTTAAAGAGTGTTCAGTGACAGTGCTTGGCTAATATCAACCTTCAAGGAGTTCCAAAGTGTAGGCAGTGCTTCACTAAAAGCTTGATTTCATACTATTTGCAGAACAAGCGTTACATGGCACCTCTAACAGTGCCATTTCTGCAGAACGAAGAGGTCCAATGAGCATGTATAGGGTAATGCTATCCTGCAAGTAAATTGGCCCCAGGCTGTTAAGAACTTTATATATGAATACAGACCAGTGCTTTTTTTCCAGGAAAAAGTGCTGGTGCTCACCAACAAGCAGGGGGAGTGTCCAGCATGTGGGGAGAAGACCTAATGCCAAGTCTGGATGGCAAGGGTGGGTTAGCTGCTTGATGCTCCCTCGCCCAACTACCCAACTACCAGGGCGCTGCCGCCCCAGTGAAGAGGCCTCCCCTGCCCTGCTTTGGGAAGGAGGCAGGAGGACTCCAGGACTTTCAGAGCATCGTGCCTCCTTCCCTAAGTTGGGCAAGCACTTCCCAGATTGGGGGAAGGAGGTTCGATGCTCTGACAGGATCCGAGAGCCCCCCTGCCTCCTTCCCTCCCAAAAGGTCACTGCGCTGCGTACCATTGCGTACCACCAGAAAGATGGCACTGATAGTAACACTTTGAACTTGGCATGATTAGTAAGTCCACAAATCAGTGCAGTTCTCTGAGCAGAGGTGTAATATGCTGACAGGACCTTACTCCTGGCGGCAGCTGCCTCATTCAGTGCCAGATTTACGTATAATTGTAATTGTAATTTATTATTTGTACCCTCCCATTATAAGCTAAACTAGCTATAGCTTAGGGCCCCTCTCTTGGGGCCCCCCCCAAAAAAATTAAAGGGGAAAAAACTGGATGTGCATTTCCAAAATATAAGATAAGTTCAACCATTACTTTGATAAAATACATATTTTGTTATGTGCAAATGGCTTTAGATACCTATTAGGTCCACAAATTACCATATGGCATATATTCAACACAAAAAACAGCGACAATTTGTTGTTTGCAAAGGACAGCTGGACATATAAAAGGCCCCATTACCTTCAGTAGCTTAGGGCCTCATCAAACCTAAATCCGGCCCTGGCCTCATCCATCCTACCGTTGCATCCAGGCATCGGTTCAGGGCCTGCACAGCCTCTCCTGATCCAAATGTTATTGAAAAACAGAGCTGAGTCTCTTCAGCATAGTGACAGCACCTTGCCCCGAATCTCCCTCAAACCACATCACCAAATTCAGGAAAGCTGTGTGAAAAATCAGCCTCTGAGAAGAATGTGGTTGTGTGTGTTGGTCGGATAATTGTAGCACTTCTTGCAGCAAATTTCCCTGCACTTTCAAAAGCCACCCTGCTCTTTGTTGTAAGCTATGTGTCTGTCAAACCGTCCACCAAACATTCCACCCTCCTGTAAGTTACGCTGAATGCACCTAAGCTTCTACTGAGACCTTATTCCACGATGACTTTTTTATTACTCTCTGAGATCATTACTTTGAACAGGAAAATATGGTTACCTACAGCACAACAACGAAAATTTGGGAGGGTTCCCCCCTACCACGTATGCACCTAACTGGATCTTTTTCACTTCAGGTCCTGAACTGCAATACACTCGAATCACTACAGGAGGTGGGGCAGATACTGAGGAGACTCTTAAGAAATTGCTGGAAGAAGGTTAGTATTCTTTGTCAAAGGGGAAGTATGGACTGTGATCTGGCACGCTCAAGGGCTTATTTTCTAAGGATAATAATGCTGATTTTAGCAGCTCCGTAACATGAACAGCGATTATACAAGGCAGAGTCTGGAAATGACTAGATCTGAACATTTGATCATGGGAATGATATGCACAAAATTAACAGGATTTCAAATGTCTAAAGAAATGAATTTTGTGAATGTCTGAAAACTCAGATACACATCCATTTAATGTTGGCAGTCACCTAAACAAGATTTTCAGCATTCATTTGCAAATTTCTAAAGCATTTAGAAATTAGCAAAATCCATCTGGAATTGGCAGTATTCAAAATTGACTTTCTAGTCTGCTATCAGGTTTCAATGGAAGGCATATCTTAGCTGTAATCTGTCTTGCATTCAATATGTATTACATTGATATTTTAATTCTTGTTCAAGTGAAACAGCCAATATCCTGTATATTATAGACCAGGAAGACACTGCAACCATTTATTTCTTTTAATGAAAACAACCAGATGTTTGGCAGGAGGCTTTTCACTGCAATAGATAATTGTGTAATTATAAAGTAAGCTTGTTAAATGTGCTGCAACTACCAATTTCTCAATGCTCCACATCATGCCATAAACATGTATTCTGTCAGAGGTGACCAAGGTGACCAAATTCATTGAAGGTGACGGTCATTTACTTGAAGATGAAGATATCAAAAGACTCCTCAAGGGAGGTTAGTGAGTGTGACACAACTAACCTCATCGTAATGAGTGCCAAGAGCTGACAAACTGATCTTTTAAACTTTTTAAAGACTGATTCAATTAAGCCAAATTTATGGAAGAAAAACCAAACCCAATGCATGAAATGATGAACTTTGAGCAATCCGTTTACCTCCATACATGTTGGAGTACAATAAAGCTTTATTTGTGCGAATCTGTCCAGTCTTTAAAAAGTTCCAAATGAGCAATGAAGATTTATTTGCATTATAAATATTCTGTGATCACTTTTGAATTTTAAGATATTCTTCCAAAAGTAAGTGCAACACGTGAGAAAAGTCCAAATCTTTTTGCATTGCTCATTTAAAAATGAATATTCATTGCTCACTATTTAACTGTCAAAGGCATGTACAGCATCCTTCTTTTGAAATGACTTTTGGTTCTGTGCATTAAAGCTTTGTAATTATCTTCAAGAGTACAGTGCACTCATCTTCGTACTGATGGGCATATTGATGCAAACTCATTTCAGTTAATAATAAAAAGGTGCAGAATTCGCAGTCTGAACACCTATTGCAATAATGTGAAGCACCATCTTGACCTGCCGCCACTGGCCAACTTAATGCTAGCCAACAAAGCAGTTCTCAGTGCAACTGTGGAAGTAGCAGGTACTATTACCAGATACGGCGTACAAATGTCACGCAAAATGGCTATATGGTTGGTTCAAATGAGGAATGACTGCAGTAGAATTGGGCAGTGATTCCTAGAAGTAGCATCCTAAAAACATGTGTACTACACTACAGAGGCAACCAATTTGGTGCTGTGGCAATCCCATGTGTTTGAGAGATACAACACCTTTCAATGGATGTTCAACTCACAGCATGCTGTTTTGTGCCCAATCCTGGGCGTGCCCATTTGTAGGATGAGGATTTCACCACCATATGGTTGCCAGCCAGCCAATAGCGTCTGAGCATAATGAACTGCCATACAGTATTAGTCGGGTGCACTGTATTGCCAGAAATGACATTCTGATCCTCTCTATTCTCCTTAATAATCTACTGATCGCCAAGAAATAACCAGAAGAAACTGACGGGCAACTTTAAAAAAATCGAATGCTTATGTTATTAATCTGTATACCTCAATTGAATGGTTTTGCTTGTTGTGGGATATTTAAGAAGTGAAGGGAAAAAAGAATTCAAGTATCTGGACAAAGTTAACAGTAACCCTGACCGCTAAATCCAAACTATATATTTTTATTCTTGCTCAAGTTAAAGTGAGACCACATCAGCTTCTGCTATGATTACCTCACAGAATTACAGTCCAACTGGATCTACATTGGATTACAGTTTGAAATCCTTACATAATGAAGTTAACCAGGAAAGCCTTTCTTGCATAAAAATTGCCTAAAGAACTCAGAAAACATTTAGCAAATGTCATCTTAGAGCAGAAAAATCCAGCTGTGAAAGTCCCATTGAATTCAGTGGGACTCACTCTCAGGGAAGTGGGCTATAGCTTTAGTTTAATAAAACTATAAGAACAGGTGATAACATATTTATTTTCTCTAAGGGACCTAACTGTAGAGAAAAGAAATACTGAAAAGCATCCATTTATATGGCATTCCACAAACCAAAAGGTGACTCCAATAGTGGTTTCACAATTGTGCATTTGAGAAGAGTAGCAACTGGAAGACTGGAATCTCCCTTTTTTAAAAAAAATAATAATTCTAAAGGATAAGTAGCTGTAGGTTGCAGGATGTAGATCTAACAGCAGGCAGGCATTTGAAGGCAGTAGCCTTCAAATTGTAATGTAAGAATTGCCTAATAATCCAGTTTTCAAACTTATGCTGTATTTTTTTAAAAAAACAACAACAGTGCAATCCATTGTTTCTAATCTCAATTCTTTGCCATTTCCCCCCCAAATATTCCAAATGATAAATCATGAGTACAATTAGCTCAGTGAGAGAGTGCATGTGATAGATGCTGAAGATCTCAGACACATTCCGCAGAATCTCAATTTAAAATCATCTCCAGTAACAGGGCTGAGAAATGGTCCCTGCCTGGGACCTGGGAAGCTTCTGATAGTCAGAATAGGGTCCTGGGTCGGATGGTCAAGTAGTGAGCCACAGACCACACGGAAGTAGCTAGAATCTCTGCCATAAAACCTGAAATATCATAAAGTGATCCACTGAATTCTTTTTTCCCGTTCTTCTTGCAATTGTGAAGTGGCTACTAGAAACAGAACCCTTGACTCGTTTATTTGTCTTTGTCTTTATTTTTATTTTTCTTACTTTGCTTCATTTATTCCAGCCCTTCTTTTCCTTTGACTGCCATGAGAGACCCGTATAATTTTTTGAGACTTGCCTAGACCCCCACCCACCCCACCCCCATACACAGATATAAACAAACACATGATTTGCACGCTGCGATCATGATGGCAATGGCTCCACAGACATTTTGGAGCTGTCTTCCCCCAGTTGAAACTGGAACAAAAATTATTCCATTGCCTACGGTAACACAACAAGCCTTTTGCAAGTTGCGAACCGCACTGTTAAGATTATTGCAATGTAAACTAACAACAGTGCATGCTCGTTGCACATTTGTTGAGGCAATTCTTGGCTACCAGCCACAGAACAGAGGATTTGTCACTTCTAAGAAAATATTTCGGAATTTGCTCATGTTGTACCCATCCACAGCCTCTTCAGATGTAACATTTCAAATATGGACCACTTTCCTGTTTTTAAAAAACCTACCCACTCTTAACTGGCAATTGTTTTTAATGCCTGTTGTAGCTGGATCTGAGTACACCAAAGTTACTAAAGTAATTGAGGCAGAGCCACAGATTATCGAGACAGAAATAAAGAAAATTCATCTGGAAGGTTAGTTATGCAGTAATATGGAACCGCCCTCTTATCCAAACAATTGTTGTGAGTGAATTACTTGCATGGAAATCAGGACCAGACCTAGAGAATACAGAATTGTTTATTTCCACCCTATACTTTCGAACGCAGTTGCTTACGTAGCCTATTGGCATGAAATGACTTTGTTTTGTTCACCAGTTTAAAGTTGCAGTGTTCTGTATATTTACAACTTACTTGAATAATTTATTAGTCATTAACAAACAAACAAAAATCTGTTTCAATTATTCTAACCTGCATAAAGGGATGTTAAGCATTTCTCATAGTTCCTTTCCTTTTAATCTTCCAACAAGACTACAATATACCTGTCATCTACTTTACTACGTATATTAAGTTGTGCTCGCTGAATATGTCATGTCAAGGATTTGTTCAAGACATATTGCATGATTAAACAGAATACTAATTGCTTTTTTTGAGGGGGGGGGGAACCAGGTCTTATTTGAAACTTATGCAGAATGCCTGTTCAAAATATGCAGGTGTTTCATAAGCCCAAGCCAACTAGAAACATTGGAGCTGGTACCCAGAAGGGATGTGGGGGGAATATGGGAAATTTCACAGTACTGTAATGTTATTAAGAAAGAAAGAAAGAAAGAAAGAAAGAAAGAAAGAGCTCAGCATTACAAGTGGGCAGTTGGTATTTTTTGACAGCATCACCACTGATAAATTTTTATTTCTAATATCACCCTGTTAAAACTGTAGCATTCTGCCCCTACAATACTTGGATGCTACAGTGTGAAACTGCATTTACTCACGCTCCTGCCTGCAGTAACTTAAAAGCACTGGCTTCCACTTCATTGTATCTTGTTTTCTTCTTCCAAATTATGGTCTCTTCCATTCGGAGTGATTTACAGGTGTTTAACGTTGTTTGGCTCATAGCTCCGTATCTCAACTTTCTAGGACTGTGGATAGAGAACCCAAAGTTCTGGTCAACTAGTGCCATGTACTATAGTGTGTGGTGTGTGTGTGTGTGTGTGTTTCTGAAGAAGCAGCCCCTCGTGCCAGGAGGCAGAGACCTATTTTGTTTTCAATTTTTTGAAAATCGAAAAATCCACCTGGACATGTTGTAGTGCTTCACCATGCTTAAAGTAGTTTTTCTGGATCTCAGTATGTATCTATAATTGCACACACTAGCCTACATCTCATCGAGGTGGTAAGTCGATGTTTGGGTGGTACTACATTTGACTTAAAGGAGAGGCTCAAAATCACTGAGTGTTCCTTGGCGGAGGGAGGGGAACCCTATACCCAGAAATGTCACTTATCATGGACAAAACTAGGCTAGAGCTCTTCTGCCTGACATGCCTTTTTTTTCTGTGTGCAGATGATAACATGTTTTGGAGAGTACTGTACTCTGATCACTGAATAATATCTGCCATCAGAACAGCAAGTGATCTATAGAGCATATGAAATATATTGTATAGTAAAAAGCTTTTGTTATTCATCCAGTGTCTTAAACTGAAAAAGAATTCGTCAGCTTTGAATTTTTGACATTTCGGAAGATACCTACTGCGCTGTTTCAAACCTCTACAATAAATAATGCAAGATCGCAACACTGTTTTCTGTTTCTTCTTTTTAGAAGCACCTGTTAGAAAAGTACAAACATCCAGAAGAACACAAGGTATGAGGAGGAACATAACACTGTCGTATTTCTTTCTTAATTATTTAGGCATTTATATTGTGTGCAATATAAATTTTTGTCTTTGGGGTAGTTTGCGATGGTTTGTTTTTGCTTTTGTTTTATTGTGTATTTTGCGTTCTCCTTTTGTATATTTTTGTTGTGAAACCCCTTGGGATCTTCAGATGAAGGGCTGTATGCAAATTTTTAAAATAGCAGCAGCAGCAACAGCAACAACAACAACATATAGGAAGGGAGCATTTTGTTGTTGTTGTCGTTTAGTCGTTTAGTCGTGTCCGACTCTTCATGACCCCATGGACCAGAGCACTCCAGGCACTCCTGTCTTCCACTGCCTCCCGCAGTTTGGTCAAACTCATGTTGGTAGCTTCGAGAACACTGTCCAACCATCTCGTCCTCTGTCGTCCCCTTCTCCTTGTGCCCTCCATCTTTCCCAACATCAGGGTCTTTTCCAGGGAGTCTTCTCTTCTCATGAGGTGGCCAAAATATTGGAGTCTCAGCTTCAGGACCTGTCCTTCCAGTGAGCACTCATGGCTGATTCCTTCAGAATGGATAGGTTTGATCTTCTTGCAGTCCATGGGACTCTCAAGAGTCTCCTCCAGCACCATAATTCAAAAGCATCAATTCTTCGGCGATCAGCCTTCTTTATGGTCCAGCTCTCACTTCCATACATTACTACTGGGAAAACCATAGCTTTAACTATACGAACCTTTGTTGGCAAGGTGATGTCTCTGCTTTTTAAGATGTTGTCTAGGTTAGCCATTGCTTTTCTCCCAAGAAGAAGGCGTCTTTTAATTTTGTGGCTGCTGTCACCATCTGCAGTGATCATGGAGCCCAAGAAAGTAAAATCTCTCACTGCCTCCATTTCTTCCCCTTCTATTTGCCAGGAGGTGATGGGACCAGTGGAAGGGGGCATTAGTTTACCTTAATAACAACTGTTCTCTTTTTTGGTCCACAGGCTCACCACGGAGAAGAACAAGGCTCGTCAGACCTGCAAAAAAGCAGACTGTACAGAAAGAGAACTGAAGCTCTGAAGAAAAGGAGAAAAAAAAAGTCATAAGGGAAAACATTAACCAAATCACTTGTTCCCATTAACATCCTCTACCCCATAAAAGCATATGGGAGTGCATATGGGAGGAAAGCACTTCCTAAAAGATGCATTAGCTGGTACGATCCTAAAGAGCAGGGATCAACTCAAAATGTACCCCTTTTCTATGAATCCGAACTCTATAATTTAAATGCATTCCACCTGCAAGTAAATAAGCTTTAAAGTGAGAAAATCCAAGAGTGTAAGCTATGTAAATGTATCACCTTTAGATCAGCAAAACCATGTGATTTATGTTATTAAATACTATTATGACACAGACGTTACCTTAGAAATCATAATAAACTTTAAGCAATGACATAGGATCTTCGTTTTCATCACTACGTAGAACATTTGCTAGCGAAGCTGATAGATTCTCTCTCCTGCACTCTCCAAAGATGACTCTCTCAAAACGCGAGCGTTCAGGAATGTTCTTGGATCGATTACTGTACTGGCTATCTAGGTCCCAAATTAAAATAAACTTACAGTAAACACGTTAGCTTCCATTCAGAGATGCTTGAATGAAGCAGCAGGCACTACATACTTAAACACCAGTGCTACTGTTCACCTGTTCGAGGTGCAAAAGGTGGCGGACATTGTATGAATTTAAACTCCCCATATTTTCATCTGTGTACATGTGGGGATGTTGAATGTGGGTTCTACCTTTTGTATATTCTTTTGTACTATCATTTTTTGTACATATAGGAACCAGCCCGAAACCAGATTGCAAAATCTGTTTATGAGTCAGGCTAATTTGATTAGAAGCAAGAGATGCTCTTTTGTTTTAATAGTGTACTCACATACTGATGCCAAAGTATAAAATACATGCACCTTCCTTTCGTTGATAAGGGCAGACTGAATTTGAAAAAAACCACTTATTTTTTGTTCAAATGTATAGAAATGGGGGGCAGAGCCTTTCCTGACTTTCAGAATTCAATGGAGCTTATTCATAAGCAAGTGGGGTTAGCATTGCAGCCTCGTATGTATTTTACTGAAGGAAACAGTTGTTTATATGTACGTTCCCCATATCCCCAATGAAACAACATTCATTTACATTTTGTACTTTCTGTAGCTGAGTACAGAATATGAGGTGGCCCTTCATTCCAGGGATGTTAGCCGAATTAGCTTTTAGGCATGCTTATAGTTGACACCACTTCCCTCTGGTTGAAACTAAACCTGAGAAGCAGTAAGATTGACCTGTGGTATGATGATTTGATAGCTTTGAATTCGGAAAAAGATATGCTATCGACTTCAGTGGGACTAAAACAATTTATATTTAAGAACTTTGGCTTGTCTGATTTGTGAATTTGACTCTCTTGCTGAAGTCCTCTGCTTTATGGAATGTGTATTCCTGTGGAAATAGTGAGCCCTGGTGAATTCAACAGGTCTTATTCATGAGCCATTGTACTAAGTAACCCACTTGAATCTAACAATCAAAAGAAATATATCTCCACTATAGCGTATAAGTACAGGAGACAATTGTAAGGTTTGTGAAATATTAGCCTTTAAAAAGCCTGCTCTGAATTGTTGAATTCTAAAACAATCAATGAAATGCATGCAACAAATTATTCTTGTTCAGGAAGATATATATCAACTGGTACTTGGTTCAGAAGCCTTTGCATAAAGGAAGCCCTACCAATTTCCATTATTGATGTGGGCCTTGTTTGTAAATTGTCGTTTTTATAACTAGTTTATTTGCTTCTTCTCCCATACTTGTATGTCAACTATGCAAGAATCTTTGTGAAGGGAGTAACAACATTTCATCAAGGTGCCTTAATTCTGCAAAGTGTGGTTTAAAAGAATTACAGCGTGTGCCTTTATATTTTTGTTTTGAAACACATATTCATTAAATAAATTTGGCTGAATTATGGGGCTTTTTGTAGTCAATATTTGATGAGCAAGAAAACATTCGTGCTTGAAAAATTGTATGTGCCAATCATTTTTGAACAGTACTCTGTGAAACCACCGAATTCTTCAGTTAGATCAATAATGACCGACAAGCTTCCTTGAAACATGATGAGGCTCAGCAGGCCTAGATAGTGCTTTGCAAGAACTGAGTGCTGCAGAAATCTCTGAAATTCTGTGGCAGGCATGAAGTGGTTCCTTGGTATGCGAAAGGCTCTCTCAGCATTTGAAAAGCATCGACATATTTTTATTCCTATTCCCGTTTAATGTATTGTCCATAAAAGCATTGTAAAGCCACGGTTCCGGCAGGTTAGGGGGGAGCTAGGCTCCTGTAAGCCTTTGTGCACTCCTGCCAAATGTCGAATTAAGTTTGGATGATTTTGCTAAAGCCCACCCAAAATGCCAGATACCAACGTTAATTCAAAAGCAAGACTTGAGGCATATTTGCAAGTAGCCATGACTGACCCCTGTTGCAATCAACCAATGACTGCTCTGTCCTGAAGGGGACATGATGCTGTCCTGTTGTTGTTTAGTCATTTAGTCGTGTCCGACTTCGTGACCCCATGGACCAACCAGAGCACACCAGGCACTCCTGTCTTCCACTGCCTCCCGCAGTTTGGTCAAACTCATGTTAGTAGCTTCGAGAACACTGTCCAACCATCTCGTCCTCGGTCGTCCCCTTCTCCTTGTGCCCTCCATCTTTCCCAGCATCAGGGTCTTTTCCAGGGAGTCTTTTCTTCTCATGAGGTGGCCAAAGTCTTGGAGCCTCAGCTACACGATCTGTCCTTGCAGTGAGCACTCAGGGCTGATTTCCTTCAGAATGGAGAGGTTTGATCTTCTTGCAGTCCATGGGACTCTCAAGAGTCTCCTCCAGCACCTTAATTCAAAAGCATCAATTCTTCAGCGATCAGCTTTCTTTAAGGTCCAGCTCTACTTCCATACATTACTACTGGGAAAACCATAGCTTTAACTATATGGACCTTTGTTGGTAAGGTGATGTCTCTGCTGATATAATGACATAACCTGACATAATGTGTGCCGTGCTCTCTGCTCACAGTCAAAAGTCATGGCGCTCCAACGCAGTGGTGGTTGGTGCCCAGGGTATTTGGCAGAGTTGCTAGGTAATCCTGGTTCCATGGTCAATAAGTTCAAGAGGCATGGCTATTTGCTCTTGCTCTTTCCCCATCTTCCACCCTCACAAATATACTGTGGATGCAAGCATTTCAGTTGCATGAGTACTTTGCACCTTTCTGTTCGGAAGGTGGTGGACTCTCCTTCATTGGATATTTTTAACCAGAGGTTGGATGGTCATCTGTCAAGGATGTTTTTGTTTAGATTTCTGTGTTGCAGGGGGGTTGTCCCTTCCAATTCTACAATTATGTGATTCTAAAGCAGATCAGCTGCACAAGTACTTTGGACCCAACTGAACCGAAGTAATTCCCACTGAACTCAACGGCAATTGCTCCCTAATAAGTATGTAAAAGATGGCAACCAGAACTGGTTAGTCTTACAGGTGCACTGCAGAACTGTTAACCATAGCTGTCAACCACCCCTTATTTGGCGGGAAACTCCCTTATCCCAGCGCCGTGTCCTGCTGCTGTCCCTTATTGATGATGTCCCTTAAATTTCCTGGGTTTCAAAGGAAGCAGCTCCTCTCCCTCCCTCCCTCCCTCCCTCCCTGCTGGCCAGGGAGGAGGGAGGCTCCAACTGTGTTACTTGGCTGTGTTGCTCACCCAATAAGGAGTCTAAGAACGACTGGGGCGTGGAGCTTGCATGCCTTGTGCCGATCAAATCAGCAGCGTTGCCTGGGGACTCGCCTTTGCTCAGCGCTTCCCAGCGGAGAGGTGCCGGTGGTTTTCCTTGCTGCACCCCCTTTGCCGGTTTGCTGCGCTGTGGGAACCACCACTTGAGGCTTCGTTTGGCTGCTGGACTGGTGGGCTTTCTGCCTTTGGCTCGGGAGCTGGTTGACTAAAATCCCTTATTTTGGCTGCTGGTCCCTTATTTTCGAAGCTGCTGGTGCCTTATTTTCAAATCTGTAAGTTGACAGCTATGCTGTTAACTAGGGCCCCCATACATTTCCAGACCTATAGGAAAAGATTGTGATCCCCCAGGATGTGAAATAAGGTGGAACAGTGCCAGTACAAAAGTATTCTGTGCCCTAGTAAACGCTAATTCTCCAACCCCCTCTTCACTCATAATATAACACTCTGCACATTTGCAGAGGGACCGCACTTTCCGCGCGCCACACATCCTTCAGGGAAGCTGAGACCCACTTCAGATTAAGGTGGAAGGAGGTCCATGCCACCTCAGAAGGCAACAGCTCTAGGTCACATCACCCGCCCCCATTTTCCTACAGCCCTTTGAAAGTGGGTGAAGGGAGGCTTAAATGGGCCAGTTTACCTGGAGGGAAAGGTGTGGGTGACGGCAGGGTTTGGATCCTGCCTGCTCTTTCCATGCCCTCCCCTCTTCTTCAGTTGCTGCCTCCTCCGCCTGGACAACCCAGTGGCTGCAGCTGCCCAACACTATCTGAGCTTGTGGAGAGCTTGTCTCCTCTTTTCTTGACAGTAGGGAGGCGGTGAGTCATTGGGGTGACCCCAAGAAGGGGAAACTAGGGTGGGTACACTGGGCAGGAGCAAAACACAGCCCAGAGGAGCGGTGATGGGGCAGCAGCCCTCAAAGGTGCAAAATATTACGAGTGCCTTTCAAATTTTACTGGCCTTCTATTTTGCCACCCTTCAAATGTTGCTGCCCTAGGTAGAAGCCCCATTCACCTGGTGGTTAAACCAGCTCTGAGATGGAGTGATATTAACTTGCCTGGGATCTAGGCAGTAACAATTATAATCACCACTCAGCTATGGAATTGGCCTTGAATACCAGCTTGAGATCCTTGGAGGAAAGGTGGAATGGATATAAACTCAATACTGATAAATAAATTATAATAATGATAAAAAGTCTGCCCTTCCTGATTTTGAATCGGGGAAGAATTTGGGATACAACCAGGAGAAAATGTACGTAGATGGACTAAGTATGCAATCCGCCAAAAGCATTGAAGGGATGTTGTGCTGTCCAAACCACACCTGATGTTGGGACTTACACTTGAGTAAACATGCAAAGAGTAAGGCTGCAACCCTAAACACACTTACCGTATTTTTCTGTGTATAAGACGCCCCCATATTTTGGGGGACTCCAAATTAAGAAAACACCCCTCAGCACTACCCGTGTATAAGACAAGCCCCAAATTTAAACCTAATTTTTTGGTTAAAAAACCCTAACCTTATACACGGAAAAATACAGTACATGGGAGCAAGACCCATTCATTCAGTGAGATTAACCTCTGAATAATCATGTTGAGGACTGTGCTGTAACTATGTACCTGCCATATACATTAATTAAACAACAGCTCTTTACTGTGTTGGATAGTGCAACTATGGTGGAATCTACACACATATAAAAAACACTGTGAAAATCCTTTTTTTAAAAAAAAAAAGTTTTGAAAAATACATTGAATTTGGCATAGCTCACTGTCACTATGGTGTGACATTTGTATATTGCACTTTAAACACATTTAAATCGTCTTATCTGCAGCTGTCTAGCCAAGTCCTATATGTGCAAAGACTAACCTGAGTGTAAGCCCCACTGAGTTCAGTAGGACTTACCTCTGAGTAGATATGGTTAGCTTCAGGAAGATGGAGGCCTTATATTCCTAGCTTTATAGATGTGGACTTCAAGGAAACAGTTCTGAACATGCTCAGACCAGACGTATGATTCTACTAGAGGCTGGTGGTGGAGTGGTTGGCATTCATGACAACAGGAGGGAGTGGGAACCCACACAACCAAAGCTGGTTACGCATCAATATAACCATTTCATATGGTTTAATGGCTGGAGACAGATGGGAGTAACCTAACTGCCATAGTAGTAGTTTTGGATTGCGATTGGCTAAATGGTGCAGAGAGCTAATTGGCCAGAGAAGATTGTGTGGCTTTGAGATTTGGGGGGTGAGGGTTTGAGGGCTGTTTGTTTATTTGTTGTTGTTTTTTAAAAAAGCTTGACCTTCACTTTGGCAGGGCTCTTCCCCAGTAGCCCTGCTTGAAGAACCTTCCACTGCTCCAGTGTGGTCATGACATTCAGAATGAACTGGATCTCTTTAATGTGAGGGAATGCTCTGTGTGTGCACCAAAGCCCTTGGTTTTTGCAAAGAAACTGTTCTACTTGGAAGGACCTCTGAGTGGTGCTTCCAAAGAAATCAAGATGAAAAATCAACTCGATTTGGGCGGTTAGTCTAATGCAGAGTAAACTGGCTTTTAATTCTCCATGTAAGACCTGATTTGTGGAGAAGAACATGACAGCAGGACTACTGAACTTCTTAGAAAACCAGGGCTTGGCTCTTCCAGCTGTAAACTAGTCTGAAACTTCTGGCTGGTTGACCCTGGACATGCTACCTCTTCTGGGACAAGTTGGGACTTACTTAGCTACAGAACAAAATTTGTACTCAAGTGGAAGAATGATTACAGCCTGTTCTAAACAGCTGTACTTTTCATTCTGCCTTTAATTAACCCCAAGTTTTACTTAATTCCTAAAATAACTTTCTGGGGAATGTGGTAATTTTGACATATAATCATGCCCAACAAGATTCTTCATCTGTTCAAATTAATGAGTTTCATTTTTATGGAAGAAGTTCATCAAATGTCAGGTATTTAAGGCCTTTGTCTTGCCCAATCTCGTCTGAGTCACATGGGTTTGGTTTTTTACATTCCCCTGGTCAGGTTACTCTAACTGACGTATTAAAAGTAATCCATGTCTGTAATGGAAAGAAGAAGAGCCGGATGGTTCAGGAAATGGAGATAATTGAACAATATTCAAAGATAAAGGGTAAAGGGACCCCTGACTGTTAAGTCCATTCACAGATGACTCTGGGGTTGCGGCGCATATCTCACTTTACTAGCTGAGGGAGCTGATGTTTGTCCGCAG